TACTTCTATTATTTGTTTTTGCTATTAAAAAAATTTCCCAGAGCTATTATTCTCTGATTCCTCCTTTTTTTTTGGAGCAACTTGTCTTTGCTTTATGGATGCACTATTTTATACTATCAGAGGCAGAGGATGCTTATTGTTTTCAAAAAAATATTCTTCTGCTCTCTATATTGCCTGTTTTCCATTTCTTTTTGATGCTGTCTTTCTTGGTGAAGGTTTATCTCAACTATCTGGTGATCCTTTGCTGTCCCTTCATATTTAAGAGTGAGTCATTACAAAGGTATTTGGAAGGTCTATGTTAGGTGGAAGAGTTTGTCAGTTGGTGGGCTTCATCACAGGTTGATAAAGTGGGGACCTATTTGTTTTGTTGGGAGACCCTCAAGTATCATTATCTATAGATATTTCTTCTGGGGTTATCCAATTTTAAGTTTCTCCCAAAATTAATCCTCTGCTGTCCTGCCTCGAGAATATAAGCCTTGCTGTCAGCATCCCTGGAGTGAAGTAGAGCAAGAAGGCTGGGTGAGTTTCATCATTCAGCATGTAGATATTCATCTGATCACTGTTTTCAGTGTGGTATCCTCCTACCCCAGCCTCCTCAGCTATGACCTTTAGCTGTACCTGGTACCTCAGTCTGGAGCTTCTCTAATTCAATTTTTCACAGAATAAACCAGGGACATAGAGGCATAGCTGCCTAACTGAGCAGGATGAGGAAGGAGCCTCGTAGTTTAACTTCTTAAATAGACTTTCAGCCAATCCCTCTCCTTTTGGCCCCTCACATATCTCTGCTGCTATAGTATCTGCTCATTTCAATTCCTGATGTTTTAGTGTTCTGCAACATGAACCTGCTTGCCTCTCATTAGTATACCCCTCCCCAGTATTTGGAACTCAATTTTCTTGGCTCAACTTTCCATCTTCCAAAATGTTGTTGATATCCTTCATCTGCTGTTATCTTTCTTTTTTTTTTTTTTTTTTGTGTTTTGGGGGCCTCCACTTTTTTGGCCTCCCCCGTTGCGGACCACAGGCTCCGGACGCGCAGGCTCAGCGGCCATGGCTCACGGGCCCAGCCGCTCCGTGGCATGTGGGATCCTCCCGGACTGGGGCGGGAACCCATGTCCCCTGCATCGGCAGGCGGACTCTCAACCACTGCACCACCAGGGAAGCCCTGTTATCTTTCTCATTCCCTTTGTCCTTGTGGACTGATAACATTAAAAATATTAACTCAATATCATTTTAGTGAATGGGGGAGAGAATAAGGATGAAGACGTGTGTAATCTGTCCATGTATACTGAGAACTGAAGGACTTTCAAGATGCTCACTCTTTCGCTCCCATAAAAAAATGTCAGAACCAGAAAATTCAGAGATAAAATTCTGCTCTCATGAGGCTGATGTGGAAAACACATGGGTCTGAGAATTGCAGTACCTATTTTCAAGTCCTGTTATTATTATTTATTGGCTGGTTGATGTTGGCGTTAGGTAAGTTAAATTTTCTGTTTCATCATCTATAAAGTGGTAATAATTGTTCCTACCACAGTCTATCTTACTTGTAATGACTAAGGTAAGATAATTGATATAAATGTATGAATATATATCAAATATATAATATTTACCATTAACTCTATTACCAAGAGGCATAGTCAAATATATTTTGAGAGGCAGTGTAACAGTAGAAAGAGTATGGGCTTTAGAGTCACACAGACCTGCACTTGATTGCATCTCTGTCATTCATTGTGTGATCCTGGGCAAGTGACAACCTCTCAGCTTTGTTTTCCCCGTTTATAAAACGAGTATGATGCTATTAACCTGACAACGCTGTTGTGAGGATTAAATGAGATAATGCATGTAACACATCTGTTATAGGGCCTAACAGTTATTAGGTACTCAGCAGATGTTCATTCTTCCTCTTATCCCCTTAATTTGGGACCAGCTTTATTATGTTCACATGAGAATCCTAAACTTGTATTTCCTCAATTAATGCTAAACCACATTAGTAATTAGGATCTTAGGTCATCAATAGTCCTCATAAAGGCTTTTTATTTGCTGTTTTCCCAGGACCAAATTATAAGGTGAGCAACCCAAGTTGAAAGAGTTCAGCGTATATATCCTTTGAAGTGGTAACAGGTTATCGCTAAGACATCTTTAGGAATATTTTGTTATGAAATAAGACATAAAATTTGTAATGAATATTAAAGGAGATCGGGGACACTGGAATACTGGAACTACTACTCAAAAATATTATCTTAAGAGTTATTCATTTTTTGTTTTTTTTTTTCTCTCTGATCCTTACATAAACCCAGAAGCTGGGAATGTTTTATTACCCTGTTTAAAGATGAAGAAATCAAGGCATGAGTGAAAAAGTGACTTGCTCAAGATTCATTAGTCATCAAGGAACAAGGAACTCCCAACCTTGGTCTTTTGATTCCCTATTCAGTGGTCTTTTGAAAAAAAAATTCTGGTTAAATACACATAACATAAAATTTACCATCTTGGGCTTCCCTGGTGGCGCAGTGGTTGAGAGTCCGCCTGCTGATGCAGGGGACACGGGTTCGTGCCCCGGTCTGGGAAGATCCCACATGCCGCGGAGCGGCTGGGCCCGTGAGCCATGGCTGCTGAGCCTGCGCGTCCGGAGCCTGTGGTCCGCAACAGGAGAGGCCACAACAGTGAGAGGCCCACGTACCGCAAAAAAAAAAAAAATGTACCATCTTAACCATTTTTGTGTACAACTAAGTACATTCACCACGTTGTGCAACCAATCTCCAGAACACCTTTTATCCTGCAAAACTAAAACTCTATACCCATTAAACAACAATTCTCCATTCTCCCTCATCCCCCAGACTCTGGCAACCACCATTCTACTTTCTGTTTCTATGAATTTGACTACCCTAAGTACTTCATATAAATGGGATCATACAGTATTTATCTTTTTGTGACTGGCTTATTTCACTTAACATAATGTCCTCGAGTTTCATCCATGTTATAGCATGTCAGAATTTCCTTCTTTTTAAGGCTGAATAACATTCCATTACATGTATATAACACATTTTGTTTATCCATTCATCTATCAATGGACATTTGGGTTCCTTGCACCTGTTGGCTATTGTGAATAATGCTGCTACACATATAGGGATACAAATATCTCTTTGAGACTCAGCTTTCAATTTTTTTGGATATATACCCAGAATTGGAATTGCTGTATCATACAGTAATACTATTTTTAATTTCTTGAGGAACCATCATATTGTTTTGGGGAATAGCCATACACAGTGGCTGTACTATTTTACATTCCAACTAACAGTACACCAATTTCTCCATATCCTTGTTAACACTTGTCATTTTCTTTCTTTTTTTTCCTAATAGCCATCCAATTGGTGTGAGGTGGTATATCATTGTGGTTTCCTTAAGAGTTTTGAAGTCTTCTGTAGAGATGCCAAGACACTAAGTAACCCTGTAAATCACAACACAATTTACATCAAGATCCTACTAGACTTAACACACTGTAGGAGGCAACAGTACACATAGTCATTGCCCTCAAGGATTTTATAATCTAGCTGGAAAGAAAGGACATACGCACTTAAAAATAAATAACAGGACTTCCCTGGTGGCACAGTGGTTAAGAATCTGCCTGCCAATGCAGGGGACACGGGTTCGACCCCTGGTCCGGGAAGATCCCACATGCCGCGGAGCAACTAAGCCCGTGTGCCACAACTACTGAGCCTGCGAGCCACAACTACTGAGCCCGCGTGCTGAACTACTGAAGCCTGTGTGCCTAGAGCCTGTGCTCCGCAACAAGAGAAGCCACCACAATGAGAAGTCCGCACACTGCAATGAAGAGTAGCCCCCACTCACAACTAGAGAAAGCCCACATGCAGCAATGAAGACCCAATGCAGCCAAAAAAAAAAAAAAGATAGATTTTGTGCCTATCCTCAAGCACTTTATATATACATTCTAGTAGTGAAGTGAGATTATTAAATCACAAGTAAGAAAAATGGACCAATAAATTAAACAAATTGTGTTAAGTGTTATGAAGTAAAGGGGCAAGAGGAGACTGTTGCAGTATCCAAGAAAGAGATGACTATCGCCTGGACCAGGCTAGTGGCAGTAGAGAAAAAAGTGGTTGGATTTGAGATTTATTTTGGACATTGAATCAATAAGACTTGATAATGAATTGGATGAAGAAAGTGAGGAAAAGGAAGGAACTGAGTTAACTCCTGAGTTTCTGACTTAAGCAACTGGGTAGAGAGCAGTGCCTTGTTAATTGAGATGAGGAAGATTTGCAGTGGGACATACCCAGAGTTCTGTTATAAACACAATAACTTTGAGATCTCTGTGAGACAAGCAAATGGAAAGAAATAGGCACTTGGACATGTAAGGCTAGAATTCTGAGAAGAAGTTTGGATTGGAAATAATGGATTTGAGAATCATTGACATAATGACATTATTTGGAGACAGTATTTCCATTAGACTAGATTCCTAAATCTCCCCATTGACACATTATCTCATAAGTCGTTTCTATATATGATTAAATAATTAAGAATTCATTTCTGTTGGTTTAGTTCTCGGAGGATAAACTATTCAAGACTTCTTTGGGTAAGGGGGCGGTGCTCACTATACCTCCCATCAACCTCATCAACCCAAAGACAAATTTAATTTCAGAGTTACTAAATGCTTTTCATTAATACCTCAGTGACTTTCTCTTTTACTCATCAAAGCTAACTCGTAAAGTCCCCATGAAATGAATGAAAAGGATTGAATAGGTCTGGATTTCCCTGTGGATTAGAATTTCTATCTTAATTATATTTTCTTTAAGTTAAACATCACCTACAAGGATGTATGGGCTTGCTTAAGTAGACAGAGTACTGGACTAATATCATGAGATCTGGGTTCTAGCTCAAGTACCGTCACTATTTAAAGTCATAGCCTCTATAGGCCTGTTTTTGTGGGTCAGGTGAAGAGACTAAGGAATATTTTAAAGACTATGAAAACATAAAATTCAGTAGCTTACTACTAGGAAGCTGGAGATCTGGGGTGGTGCTGAGCATCAAGAATGGCCCAGAGTGAAGATTCCAGGAGGCTGTTCTGGATTTCTCACTACTTTTTGTGGACTCCATAATTTGGCTTCTGTATCTATAAAATAGGAGAATGTCAATGATTTCCCTCACCATTATAAGAAGAAAATTAATAAATGTCTAGATGTTTTACAGATTCCTGGATGAAACAGGTTAGGAAAATACAAATAACTATTGTGCTGATGTTCTTACTAGCTTAATCTAAGTACAATCTATCTCTTGGAAAACCTGGAAACACTTAGCTGCCATTGCTTTGTGACTTTTGCCAGCTCCCCAGGGAATCTTGGCTTTCCCAAGAAAACAACTACCTTGAGGGTAACCTGAAATCTCTGAAGGAAGTCTCTTGCAAGCAACCAGTTCAGGGAGGTCATATCTGGTACCATGCTGTAAAAGAAAATAAATCTTTTCACAAAAGTGTTCAACACTATTTGCTAATCAGACCAGCATTTCCCAAACAGGGAGTGGCAGTACAGCGAGGCCTCATTAAGGCTTTGTCTTTATTAATGTGAACTAACTTTGTTAGCGTGAACTAAGTAACTTAAGGGTGATTTCCTATGAGCTCCTCTCTGCCTCTATCATTTCTCTTCTACCTTGTTTTTTCCCACTTGTCTTCTCTTTGTCTCAGTCTTCATTCTCCTAGTTGCATGGGCTTTTCAAAAACGTAGGCCACATTGTTTCCTTCTCTCCTCTTCAAGGCCTCCCCACTCAAAGTGATTTGGGGGCTGTCATGCTCCAAATATTTGTTTGGAGGTCTCAGAGACCAGGAGGATACAAATGGTATTCACCAGTGGCTTTTGACCAGGGGTGATTTGGTAATGGCTGGAGACATTTTTGGTTGTCACAATTAGGGAGAGGGTGCCACTGGCATCTAGTGAATAGAGGCCAGGGATACTGCTAAACATCCTACACTGCACAGAACAGCCACCAATAACAAAGAATTATCTGGCCCAAAATGTCGAGAGTGCTGCTGTTGAGAAATCCTGGTATGCACAGATATCAGTAGCTGAAAATTACTGAGGGAGCAGTGTAGTCCCCTTAGGGATACAGATTCTCAAGGTGGTAAAGCAGCAGCCACTGGCATCAGATTGCCTGGGCTTGGATCACTCTCACTGAGCTATAAGCTCCTTGGAGGCAGGGACCTAATTTTACCTACCACACTTACATTAGGGACTAGTATCCAATGGAGAGTACAAACTATTTGTGGATTGTCTCACACAGTTGTTTTGAGGCCCAAAGCATGGAATATACACTAAGTGATATGAAGCACAGTGAGAGGGAGAAAAGCAGCTCCTGAATATGGGGAGCTAGGCTGGTGTTATCAACTAGGATGTGCTGCCCTACTGAACATAAACAATTTCACCAAACACCAACATCAGACAAAGCCACTCTGTGACCATGATGGATAAGACAAAAACAAAACCACTCCATAAACATGTTTGAATACAAACAAGGATACTGTCCCAACCACAAAAGAAAAACAAACAAAAAGACCAAATATCCCCCTATCCTGGCTAACATGAGGATTCTTCTCCCTTTTTAGATAATAATGATTAAAATACCCCATCATAGAATTACCTTCACCTCCTAATAGCATCCAATCCAGAGAGAAGGCCCGCTTCCTGGAGCCCTCCTCCAAATTACCTAACACAAGCCCAAACCCTGTACATTCTTTCCAGCACCCTCTTCCTGAGATGTCTCCCTGTGCCTCATGCTGTGCCTCCCCTCCTTACAAGGAGACAATAAGCTCAGGTTTTTTTTTAAATTTATGGCTGTGTTGTGTCTTCGTTGCTGCGCTAGTTGCCGCGACTGGGGGCCTACTCTTCATTGCGGTGCGCGGGCATCTCATTGCGGTGGCTTCTCTTGTTGCAGAGTAGGGGCTCTAGGCGCCTGGGCTTGTTAATTGTGGCACGTGGGCTTCAGTAGTTGTGGCTCGCGGGCTCTAGGCCACAGGCTCAGTACTCGTGGCGCACAGGGTTAGCTGCTCTGCAGCATGTGGGATCTTCCCGGACCAGGGTTCGAACCCGTGTCTCCGCATTGGCAGGCGGATTCTTAATCACTGGACCACCAGGGAAGTCCAAGCCCAACTTTGTTCAACTAGACAGGTGATCTCGGTGGTATTTGGCTGGAGGGCATTGACAATAGTGAGAGCCCCCTAAAGGGTTACTGCTATCATCATGCCTCAAGGGGAACTGCACCCGCAGCGTTCAAGCAGAGACTTCGCAAACAAGGATTTCGAGGTTTCCCGACAGAATGTCTCCTGCCAGGCGGCTTCTCCTCAGGGTACGTCTCCTCTCCCGTCTACAAGGGAGAAGCCGACCTCCCAAGTTCAAATCCAGCCTGTTGAGTTAAATTTCTCGTGAAGTAAAACCCTTCAGTGAGGTGTGCGCCTCTAGCTCCAACTTTGAGTTCCTGAAACACTAGAACACCCCAATGGGGCACGGTGGAGGGAGCAGCAGGGAAACAAGCCCCGACGGGTTCATATTACTGAGTGCCTTACCCACCACCCTAACCGAGGACAAACCACCTCGAACTCACTCCGCAAGCGACGCAGAACTGCGAGGGTTCTCCACGCCTCCAAAAGCTAAGGTAAGGGCAGCCCCAGGCAAAATCGAACCTTCCGTGCCGCCTTCCTCAGACGTCGCGCACGCGCACGGGTCGCTGGGCGGCCGCCGCGCTAGCGCCCGCCTCTTCTAGGCGGACTACAAGTCCCGGCTTGCCTGTCGCCGCGGCGTCGCCTGGTAACTCGCGCCAGTCGGAGCGCGCTAGGTCGACTTCGCCGCGCGCCTGCGCCTTGGCGGTCTCTGCGCAGGCGCATTTCTAACTCTTGGGAAGAGAGGGCGGGGTGTTGTTCCCTTTCGCTGATGCAAGAACCTAGTGCGGTGGTGGGAGAGGTGTCGGCAGGAGCAACGCTGAAGCCTGGGCCTGGGGCTGACCTGTCAGACTTTCCGTCCGTGCCGAGCCCACTCCAGCCGCAGCTATGTCCGGGGACGAGGTGAGGGCCTGAGGCTGGCGCTAGGTCTAGGGACGGAGGCAGTGAGACAGACCCACCCCAGTGTGGGAGACTGGGCCTGCGGCCTAGCGGCCGGCCGCCGCCATGTGGGGCAGCCGGGCCTAGGCGACGCGGAGCGGCAGAGCCGGCGAGGGCTCCGGAACCGCGGCTTGGCCGTGCCCCGCTCTCCTCAGGGCGGCGGCGCTGAGGCCGGCGTCCTCCCGTGGCCGGCGTTTCCGGAATGGAGAGCACGTTGAGTCGCTCTCCAGAAGAGAGCTTGCATGCCCGGTTAATGCCCCAGCTGAACGAGATTGGGGCTGGCGGCCCCTGCATTCCCTTCGATTTGACGGTGCAGCTTCAACTCTCACTCTCTGGGCGCTGGTGGTGCCTAGAGGAGCGTCTCTTGGCTCCGGTGGAGCGCCCTAGTTTAAAACTTTGCAGGCTGGCTTGTCCTGCCCGGCACCCACCCTTGTTCTCATGTAGAGGGGGGTAGGACGAGAGGAAAAGATCCTTCAGCCTGAAAAAGTGATTAACCTTTTCGGAAAGTTTTAGGGCGGGAGCACCTGAGCCTTCCTTAGCAGAGTTTTCAGCGACGTCAGCGGGAAGTCTGAGTTGCAAAGATGCCTGGGTCTTTTTCTACTGTCGTGCTTGTACCTCAGCAAATTTCCTCAAATCCCTTTTTGGCCAGATTTATCCCAGTTTATTTAAAACCAAACGACCTAAAACGAAATTTGACTTTAAGTGATATCCGTAGGTATAAACATTGCTGGGAGAGCTACCGCTTACCGGCCAGCTCTCCCCACCAGAAAAAAACCCCTTGAATTTATAATTAATTTCTGTAAACATTTGAGTGCTTGGCCAATAGGGCCTCGGAGAGAAGGAAGAGAAAAATTCGAGGCTTTTTCGAGTTTTGGCTTTTGAGGTAGACCCTGGAAATGCTTTGAATTTCCTCAAGTAGTGGAAAGGCCTGATCCAGGGCAAGGGAGTAGAATATTATCCAATTTGGTTAGAGTTAATCCCTTGAAGTATAGGTAGTAGGCAGTTCATGGAGGGATTTGAAGACCAAGTTAAGGAATTTGGATTTTATTCTGGAGGGGATTCTGAGCTCTCATTTGATTCTCATGACAACCCTTTAAGGTCGGTATTGTTATGCCCATTTTAGAAATGAGAAAAGCGAGGCTTTTAGAGAGTTGTATGATGCCCATGATCAAATAGTAAGTGGCTGAGCCAGTAGTAGAATTCCAAATCTCCATTTAGGTGACTAGGAGGGTCTCGCTGTCTTAGGAAGGAAACTGAGTCTAAGGGAGGTGCGTGGTTCTTGTTTGGAGGTCATGGTAGACATTGCTCTAGGCCACTGTATTTCAAAAGTTCTGAGAGTGGCAGTGTCTCATGCTTGTTTTGTTTCTACCCATTTTCTAAGCTTTTCATAACCTTTAACAAATAAAGTACCTATATAGTGCAGAGTTCTCTGGGGTGCTATTCTGTGTTTGGTTTTCTGTGGTAAAGTACTTGCAAGTGTTGTAAGAGATTTACTACTAGTTGGTATAGGAGGTAGAAATAGAGCCATTAACAGCGATTTGGAGGGCTGGAGGGTTCAGTTTTAGCAGTGGGATCAGATGTCGAAGGAAGTGGAATATTACTGAAGGGTGAAAAGGATTTCGTCAAGCAGAGATGTCAGAACTAGCATTCCAGCAGAGGACTTTGGAAGCCCATAAAGTATTAAGCAGCTTTGCATTTCTCAGATCTACCAGGCCATTTTGTAAACAGGAAATAAGGGCTCAGGGAGGTTAAGTTGCCCAAGATCACACAGCAAGTTAGTATGACTAGAATCCTGCCTTTGGCTTCCACTCCGAAGGTATGTGCAGGTTCTGGTTCCTTTAATACTGCTGGATAGATAAGTTTTCTTAGGCCGATCCTTAACTTCTGGCTACTTTACAGACTAGTAAGGATCGAGTGAAAATCTGTACATAGAAATGATTTATAAACTGTGAGGGATTCCCTACAGTGGAAGTAGTGCTGCCTGGTAGCCAGGATAGAGCATTAAAGAACCTACTATTAAAAAGTAATTTATTTCTTTTTTCACATTTCCTTTTTTTCTTTTAATAGTTTTTTAATGTATAGTTGTCATAAACTGCACACACTTCCTTTTAAACCTGGCAAATAAGCCCAAAACTCACATAACATAATCTCTTTTAAACTAGTGGAACCATGACCTCTAAAAAGCAGTATTCTAGAAATATGAGTGCTGCCTTGTGAGGAAAAACTCCCTAATCTGCAGGCATTAAAGTGCTGTCAATAGCTAAGATTATTGCTTATTACTAGGCCCCATCCACAAAGTATCGGAACGTCAGGTTGTCACACAACATAGTAAGGTGTTTTACAAAAGAAACTGATTAAAAATGGAATATGTGTTGTATGACGTATACAAAACACAGAAGAATGCAAAGAGAAATAAAAATCTCCCAGAATCCTATCACCCAGAGATGACGACACATTTCTTCAGAGCATTTGTTCTGCTCACCTTGCTTCTCTGGGTGCTTTTGTAACTCACTCCTGCCTTCTGGGTGGGGTGTGCTGTGGCCTTAAAGTTAACATCCTGAATAAGGTATGATAGATGGGAGTAGGCTTCCAACTTGCTGAAGCACTTTAGGCTATTGTCAGGGTAACTTTTGCTGCTGTCCCTTTTCCTCACTTTCTTCAACCCAACCCAGTGTGGGAAGTTGAAAAGAGAAAACTTAAAGGCTTTGTTCTATCTAGAGTTAAAAAAAAGAAAGCTCAAAAGAGTCTGTGCTTTTCCATAAGTGTACTGTGAGCAACTATTTGCGTCTCACATCCCGGCTAGTTTCATAAACAAAACATATGGACTGTGATAATTTGTTAAGTCAGATATGAAAGTCTTAAAAAAAACACATTTTAAAAAAAGATTTATTTATTATTTATTTTATTTTTGGCTGCATCAGGTCTTAGTTGCCGCACACAGGATCTTCATTGAGGCCTGTGGGATCTTTCATTGTGGCACGCGGGCTTCTCTCTAGTTGGGGTGTTGGGTTTTCTCTTCTGTAGCTGTGGTGCCCGGGTTCCAGAGCTCATGGGCTCTCTAATTTGCAGCACGCAGGCTCTCTAGTTGAGGTGCGCAAGCTCAGTAGTTGTTGCGCGGGCCCCCGCAGCATGTGGGATCTTAGTTCCCCGATCCCCACGTTCCCTGCATTGTAAGGTGGATTCTTTACCACTGGACCACCACATTTTTAAAGTTAAGACTGATGTGACCTTGTGGTTTGGGGGAGGTCTGCTTTGGGCACTATTTTGGAATACCTATTACCATATTTTTAAAGTCTGGTTTTGCTGAGTGGTGTGAATAAAATGAGGCAATGAGTTTATGTCTTAAGTATCCAGAGAGAGTAATTGAGAGAGGTGTTAATTACTTCAGTGTACAGTTCTTTCATGTTTATGACCCTTTACAAGGCTACAACCGTACTGTTTCCCTGTGGACCTATATGAATGTTTTTCAGAGTGTAACAGGGCGGTTGTGAGGATGTCCTTTGATGATTTTAGGATCCCCCTTACCTTTAGTCTGTCTTGCTGAATAATAGTTAAAAGATAATTAATATTCTAGGGAACTTGATACTTGAAAAAAATGCAATAAGTGAATTACAAGCCCTGCCAGACAACCAAATTTATAGTGCCTGGAGTGTTGTCTGTCCTTTTGCCAAACCTCCGTATTTCAGGAATAAGGATGAGTTATAGCTTCTTCCCTGGAACAGATTATAACACTCCATGTAGGGTGACTCAAGACCCAGTAGGTCAGCAGTGGGGAACTCCTTCCTCCTGGCTCTTCTATCCTCTAAGTTTGCCAGATCATGTTCCTCAGACTGACTGCTTTTCAGAATTACTCATTTATACAATTAGAGCCTTCTTAAGGTTGGAGGGGATAACTTTGAAATGAGGCTGTATCAATTTCCAGAATGTCTTGCAAATCCTTCTGTATTGGGTGAGGACTATATACTACCCTACCTTATTACAGACCATAGTTTGGTTTCAGTGTAGCTCAGTTTCCTTAATGTACTTGGGACATAAAGGAATTTAAGTTAATCAGAATCAGTTTTGGGAATTTTTTTGAGTTTCATGATATGTCTTGGAAATTAGATCACCCTGAGTTGATGAAATTTCAGTGATAGGAATCAAGAGATACCATATTTTGTCAACTGTAAAGCATTATATAAATTGTATATTTTTGTGCCAGGCACAAGTACTTTTGTGCCAGGCACTGCGCCAAGTGTTTTATATTTATTTACTTATTTAGTTCTCCTAATAATCTTGTGAGATTTGGTTTTGTTTCTGCTACTGATCTCCATTTTACAGCTGAGGCAAGGAGAGGGCAAGAACTTACCTGGGGTAACAAAAGTAAGAACCAGAGTCAGGATTTGAATTCAGTCAGTTAGGTTCTAGACTTGTGCTTTTAAACACTTCATCTGTATTTTTTTTTTCATCTGTATTTTTTAATGTTCCAGAAACAAAAAGCAGAGTAAAAGGTTGTATAGAAGTTTCTTTTACTCAGAGATTTGCTACATGAAGGGCTGCTGATGGATTTCCTTAAAGGCTTGTCTGAGTTTCAGGATAAAAAATTTTTTTAAGTTTTTTTCTTATCAGTTCAAGTCTCCTGGTATAGCAACCCCAGGTTACCAACCTTAAAACACGTATGACTTGTCTAGGCGTTGGCTTTCTCATTCATAAAGCGAGGGGTGAAGCATGAGTTATTGCTAAGATCCCTTTCCTAAATTCTGTTATCTTGTGATAATTTTAAATTAAAAGACATGTACATATGTTTTGGGGAAGCACCCCCTCAACTTTTTTTTTTTTTTTTTTTTTTTGCCGTACGCAGCCCTCTCACTGTTGTGGCCTCTCCTGTTGCGGAGCACGGGCTCCGGATGCACAGGCTCAGCGGCCATGGCTCACGGGCCCAGCCACTCCGCGGCATGTGGGATCTTCCTGGACCGGGGCACGAACCTGTGTCCCCTGCATCAGCAGGCGGACTCTCAACCACTGCGCCACCAGGGAAGCCCACCCCCTCAACTTTTAATAGTATAAGGAAGGTTACATGTGTGTGTGTGTACATATATATTTTTTTTCTTTTTTTTGTAAAATCCTTTTAGATACTTTAAGGCGTCAAATACTCTTTCTTTTAAGAGTATGCCTTTTGAGAATACAGCATACTTGGAATGTGAGTATCATTAAAACTAATCACATGGTCCCCTTTTCTTTTTAATTATCTTTTAAACAGATGATTTTTGATCCTACTATGAGCAAGAAGAAAAAGAAGAAGAAGAAGCCTTTTATGTTAGATGAGGAAGGGGATGCCCAGACAGAAGAAACCCAGCCCTCAGAAACAAAAGAAGTGGAGCCAGAGCCAACTGAGGACAAAGATGTAGAAGCCGATGAAGAGGACAGTAGGAAAAAAGGTAAGTGGCAGACATGAGAGAGTCACTGTTGTCCTGGGAGACCTGGTTCTCTTCCATCAGTGTGTTTTGGATTTTGTGCACACAGTGTCCTTTCAGCCTGAGAGGCTATCTATTACAGTGAAGCTGAGGCCATCAACAGTCTGTGTGCATGGGACCTTGCCAGATTTCTGATAGACTTGTTTCAGGGAAAATTCCACTGAATCCACAAGACAGAGATGACAAAACTTTGTTACTCCAGGGCTGGTTCTTCTAGTCTAGCCTTTTGGGATGTCTCTTTTCCAGTTTTAATGGTGGTTGTATTTGAGTGTAGGCAGGAAGAAATGGGACCAAGATAAACAGTTTTGTGTCTTAACAAGTTTGAAAACATATAGAAGAGATTAAAATTACAGCCTAAAATGTTTGGGTTTAGACACCAGCATGAGTTATTCACTCTGTGCTTTAACACAGACAGCATTTGACAATTAGAAATAAATGATTAAGTAAACATATTTATGCCTATTGAATAGAAGACACTACTAGGGATAGAGAAAATTAACATTCATTGAGCATCTACCATGTGCTAAGCATCTTATACATGTTTAAAACAAACTTGGAAAGTAAATCATTCTTTTATTAAGACAAAATTAATTCATAAATAGCTCCTTGAAAAACTTTGTAGTAGGGGCATTTAAAAATATTTCTAGTGTACAGTAGGGCAGAACAAATGGAAAACTTACTGAACCAAACCCATTATTACTCACTAATGGTGGATAAAATTTCATTTTATTCATATTGTAGCCTGATTGATTGATTAACTCGTTGAGCTAGGCACTGGGATTTAGGTGAGAAAGGCATAGCCCCTTAATATCTCATTGGGAGATAGACAAGCAGCTGGTAAACACCTCTGTTGAAGTGGTAGAAGGTACTATCAAAGCACCTGGGGGACACCTAACCCAGTTGGGGAACAGGAGGGATAGGCTTAGAGAAGACTTCTTGGTGGAAGTAACTCCTAACAAAGATCCTGTGAGATGAAGGTAAGAGCTGTGTGGGAGGGCCCATAGGAAGGCTTGAAGGTGAGAGACACACACTTCACTAAGAAGTGGAGGTAGTTCAGTTGAGCTGGAACTAGGAATTAAGGTGTCGGAGATGAGAGAGTAGCAGAAGTAGAGAGATAAAGCTGGAGAGCCTTGGAAATTATGTTAGAACCCTGACTTTGTCTTGGGAACAATGAGGCATCATATGGTCAGATTACTAAATAAATATTCCCAACATGGTCCCCTAACCAGATTTTTCCTACAAAGCTTTGAGTTGACCTGCCATTTTGTTTTCAGAACCCTAACCTTTGTGGTTGTGGAGGAATTACTGTGCTAATTAATACCAATCTCGCTATTCTGGTGACTTGATCAATTAATAGCTGAAACATTGGTTTAACTCATAATTTAATGCTTCGCCTTCTGCTATTAATAATTGAGAATCTCAATTCTCTTTTTAGATGCTTCTGATGATCTAGATGACTTGAACTTCTTTAATCAGAAGAAAAAGAAGAAAAAAACAAAAAAGATATTTGATATTGATGAAGCTGAGGAAGGTGTAAAGGTAGTATTGCTTTCTTATTGAAGGTAAAATTTGACCTCTTGAAAGGTTGCTAGTGGCTGATGTTTCTCCCTGTTTGTCTCATCTCTTACTAGTTTTGCTTTTGTTATTAAGTATTTAGTCACCACTGTTAAGGTCAGTTTCTTGGGATTTTTGTCTGACTAGGTATCTTAAAGGGATGATGGTTCAAAGGAATGTAAAGTTAGGTTTTACACATTGTATTGTGTGCCATTAAGATGATTACAAAATGCCACTTGTCATTAATCATACTGAGATTGGCTGAGGAGAGAGATTTCTGTGAGAAATCCTATAGAGCAAATATAGTTTCTTCTGTTAAACTTTTGGTAGCATGTTGAGGATACACAAATTTATGTGTATTCTTCTGAGCAGCAAAGAATGAACCCCCGCCTGTGGTGGTTGGTGGCTGATGATTTTATAGCCTGTAGGAGAACCAGAGCACTCAGGTTGGTTTTATGGAGTTCTCTGATCTTGTAGGGACTTGAGGCCCTGTAATTGTCTTATTACTGGATTGATTCCTAATACAAATATCTCAGAATTATGAGAGAGAAAGAGTGAGAATACACATACACATGCACTGAGTTGTCCCCTTTTGTGCCCTTTACCCAAATTTTTCTTTGGTAAATTATTTATTTGCTCAAATTCAAGTAAATAAGGTGTATCCCACACATAGCAGTAATTCATTGAGTTTTGGAAACAATGTCACAATTTTAATGACTTGGTTAATTCAGCAAATATATGTTAATGATGATAGTGAGTCAGGCATTGTGTGCTAATTGTTAGGGTACTGAAACAAATAAGATATTTTTCCTGTTTTTGGAGGTTCAGGGATAATTTAGAGTTCTTTAGAACAAGATTATTTTACCTGGATTTATCCTACTCTCTCCCTGTTTGGGGATTTTCTTCTCTTCCTACTGTTATAAGGAAATTGATAAAGAGAAATGCTCAAATTATGTTGAATGAATGAGGTATAAATATCCTGGGTAACAAGGTGACACATCAGAGATGTGCCACAGAAAGTCTTGCTTAACAAATTTCTCTAGTAGCTTTTGTCCTGAAGAGCCACTTACAAGCTCTAATTTAGTGCTTGGATACTTTTTTCTCTGCTACTGAAGTCATAACGTAAGAGGTTACAAGTACCCTTATCAGGCAAGACATGGGCATTAACTTGAGGCTGAAGTGTTTTTAAGATCTTGGGTTACTCTCCCCCTGAATTTTCAGAGCACCACCAGGCTTTTGAAAAATCTTCAAAAACACTATGTGCTGTTCTCTACCTTTCACTGGGTCTTAGCCTCAGGTTGGAAATAGATCTTACTGGGATAAAATAAATAATAATACAGGACTAGAAGCTGGCTGATGTGTGCTCATTTATATTTAGCATGCCTGAGTTTCTCATTTACTGACTGTCATCTTATTAGAGACTAGGTTAGTATCAGATTTCTTGTCTGGTGTTATCCAGCTAATACACATGGGCTGATTGGTCTTTGATGGCCAAAAGTGGCACTGAGACTACACAGCTGGATTTGGCATCTCAAGGCTGAGCTTCTTTTAGTCCCGGCTATTCCAACTTTTCTGCTGATTAGATTTCTAAAATTACTATAGCCATTTACAGAGTAGTTCAGGATGTAGGTGCACAAAAATAGATATTGATGGGTGATGTGGATGGCACACTTCAGGGCAGGGAGTTGGATACACTGGTGAAAGGAGGTGAGATTAGAAGGCTGGAGACTGAAACTGGCCCTTTCTGCTCTTCTGGGGTTTTTTATATCTCATTTCAAGGTTATGCCCTATTTACATCCATGACTATAGCAGCTAATCTTGGGATCAAGCTTTACCTTGTCTCTATCCATTCATCATAGGACCCTAATTCTCCGTGGGTTCTGCCTTCTCCCTCTTTCATGGATTTATCTATTGAAGTGATGCCCAAAGACCTCCTTACAGTCTGGTGCCAGGCTGGCTGTGGTATAAAAAAAATATATTTGGTCTTTGTCCCTGGTTCCTGGCACATAGCTCCTAAGACTCTTGGAATCTCTAGATATGAGTTTGGTCACCAAGAACCAGTGATTTCATCAATCATACCTGCGTAATGAAGCCTCCACAAAAAACCTTTCATGGGTTTCTTTCTTTTTATGGGTGAGCTCCATAAAAAACCCTTGAACAGTGGGGTTTGGAGAGCTTCAGGATTGGTGACCACACTGGGGTGTTGGGAGAGTGGTATACTTGAAGAGAGCATGGAAGCACTGCACTCTTGCCTCCCTTTCCTTGCTCTATGCATGTCTTCCATTTGGCTATTTCTGAGCATATCCTTTATAATATTGTGTATATATATATAATATAATAAAGTAATAGTTAAGTGTTTTCCTGAATTCTTTGAGTCCTTCTAGCAAATTATTGAACCAGGGGTGTGTGGGAACCTCTGAATTTGAAGTAGGACATATGTATTGGAAACGTGGGGACTCTATACTTGTACCTGGCCTCTATGAAGACAGTCTTATGTGACTGAGCCCTTAAACCCATGGAGTTTGTCACTAACTCTGGGTAGTGTTAGAACTGCATTGAATTGTAGGTCACCTAGTTAGTGTCAGAGAGTTGGAGAATTGAGGTGGAAAAACATCACGTATTTGGTGTCAGAAGGAAAAAAAAACCCTCCTACGAACTGCATCAGAATACTTAGAAACTTATTTAAAACATTCCTGAACCCCATTCCTGCTGAAGATCGTCACTGAGAAGATTTAAGAATCCTTGTTTCTTTGATTCTGACAGTGGCCTGGTTTAAAAACATGGACAATAATTATAGTAAGATCCCAAGGCTGGTGGATAAAAGAAAGGAAAAGGTCCCACAAAAGTGTCTTAAAATTTTTCCAGTTTAAATGACAGACTCTGAACCAGTTTGGTTCACCTGTGAGAGAGAGTTCTGATCTGTAACTTCAGTTTTGAATATTTAATATGTTTTTTTCCTCCAAAACCATGTCAGCCCATGTCATTTAAAAATAATAATAATCCTAGTAGCAAAATGTTGAGACTCTTATCTCACTTTCTTAGGACCTTAAGATTGAAAGTGATGTTCAAGAAACAGCTGAACCAGAGGATGACCTTGACATTATGCTTGGCAATAAAAAGAAGAAAAAGAAGAATGTCAAGTTCCCAGATGAGGATGAAATACTCGAGAAAGATGAAGGTAATACTGGGAGCTTAGCTCATTTCTAGGCTACACAAGCCTTTGGCCTAGTCTCTTCCATGGGTGGCCTCCTTATTTATTTTTTCTTGCCCCTTATTTCCACTGCCTAATGATGGAAGCTAAAAGGAAACAGAATCTAACTTCATAATGACAGTTTAAAAGATTTCATGGGGGAAGAACTTGGCAATTGTGATTACATTAAAACATACTGATTTAGACTATTGGGACAATTACTGTAACTGAATTTTAAATGTTTAAAAAATCTTTTACTATTTTGTTAAAAGTGCTGTTTATTAGCTTCTAAGTGCTATAGCTGCTTTAGAGAACTTTAGTATAGTCAGCAGATGGGTTTTTATGGATGTATATGTTTCTTAAGTGCTTCAAAACAATTGGACATTTTTTCCTCTATTTATCCCAGTGCATTATTTTATCTTATGTTTGTTAAATCAAGACAGTTCAATGTGTTTGTATTACCACACATTCCTAGAGGGTGGTTTTTGAAAATCGTAACATCCCCTTAAGGAATATGGGGTTATTTGTGAGCCTTGATGCCTTTATGCTTGAGGCTGTTGTGAATGCAGTTGTGGGAAGGAAGACCAGATGTCCTTGAAGCTTTCATTTCTCTAGATCTGCATCTCCCTTCTCCCCTTTTTGTTATTGTATCAGGCTCTACCCCTCATTCTTACAGTCTTTGTTATCTGTAGCTTTAGAAGATGAAGACAGCAAAAAAGATGATGGTATCTCATTCAGTAACCAGACAGGCCCTGCTTGGGCAGGTTCAGAAAGAGACTACACATATGAGGAGGTAAGACAAATTCTGTTATGAAAGGGGGCTGAACTGTTCAGTAGAACTCAAAACAGAAGCAGGATAAATGTTCCCTGAATTGAAAGGGCCATTGAAGTATAGGTGGATAATGAAACAGACCCAGAGAGGTCGCACTGCCTGATGCCGACGTTTGGGGCAGGCTGTCCACAATGTGGCAGTCATTATAGTACTCACTGTTCCATCTGAATCCATGAACTTCTGAGGCCATTGGAGCCCCACTGAAGGGGGACAGTAGGGAGAGGGAGTGGCTAATAGGGGGCCATAGTAGTCTGGAGTTTGCTTGTTCAGGGTAGTCTGAATTTTACTTCTCCAGGTACTATATACTTTCCCACAGAAACAGTAGAATTAGGGGCTTGTTCATTCCTTTACCTTTGAACAAGGAACTATTAAGCATCCATAAGGGACCAGTTCCTGGTTGAGAATTGAGTCTTGCGTTCAGGGAGCTCCCAAAACATGTGATGTGTGTGTACATTTAGTAAAAAGTAAAGTTTGTTCTGTTTAAAGGAAAAGCACAATGACTCAAGTGGGAACATTATACTCCTGCTATTAATAAGACTGTACATGAATACCACTTTATCTCTATAGCTACTGAATCGAGTGTTCAACATCATGAGGGAAAAGAATCCAGATATGGTTGCTGGAGAGAAAAGGAAATTTGTCATGAAACCTCCACAGGTCGTCCGAGTAGGAACCAAGAAAACTTCTTTTGTCAACTTTACAGATATCTGTAAATTGTAAGTTGGCTAATGCAGAGTCTCCATCCCAAATGCTAGATTCTCAGTGGAGTGTATGTTAAATATGCTTATTGTGGACTCTATTAAAAAGTAGAAAGAATGCACAGGTGTCAGGGTGGGGTTGAGGGAGGTCACAGTTCGAGTCCGTCAGTTCTTTTGATTCATAGGTCTTTAGGCTTGTTTTATTGGGCATCCAGAAGTGAGAGAAGCCCACTCATGCTGACTCATGAGACGATCCTAACCAGATGGAGTGAAGAGTAAGAAGGCTGACTGTAGTCCTTAGATAGGGGCCTGGAGAGCCCAGGGAGGTGGAAAAGCTCATCAGCCTGGGGTGGGCCTGCCAAGCAAGTACAAGCAGTGAGCTTTGGGAAAGCAGCTGAATTTAATGTGCTTCTTCCTTGGATGGTTATTGCCAAGACACAGTTGATGAGATTTCGACTTTCTTAATTACCATCGCATTCCATGCCTGTCTCACCCCCAGGTCACTGTCTGGGGCTGGCTCTTCTCAAAGCTCCTCAGCTACACCTTTTCTGGCACGTTCCTTAGGGCAACTGACCTTATCTCCTGTTCTTTTTAGTTTCATAAGTGATACATGCTTGTTGCAGATAAAAGGGAAAACAACAGTAAACAAAGAAAATATAATCACTAAAAATTCCCTGCCCAGAGTAACCACTTGTTTTCATTGCTTAGGCATGACTTAAAAGGTTTTAGACTTTTTTGCTGATGGCAATAGTAGTATATGCTTATTATAGAAAAATTAGAAAATATAGACCTACTAAAGAAAAAAAGTCATCTGTAAGTCCACCATTAAGAGATAGGTAATCATAGTTTAATATTTTTGTTTTGCTGCTTTTATGCATCTACATATTTTTAAATAAATTGGTATTATACTGGTTTTTAACATATTTTTCTCCTAATATATTGTGAAATTTTTATCCTTATCATTAAATAGTCTTTTAAATGTTTTTAGGAGTTATACAACATATTTTTTTATATATATAGATAAATTTTTTTCTCCCATTGTATGGACTGTCTTTTCACTTTCTTGCCATCCTTTGAAGCACAAGGCTTTAAATATTTTATTTATTTATTTATGGCTGCATTGGGATGCATTGGGAGATACATGTATCTCGGCAGAACTCAGAATAGAGCCTTAGGGCAAAAATTCCCAAAATGGAATTGCCTAGTCACAAGGAATGGACATTTTTATGGCAAACATTGGCAGTTGCTTTCCAACAAGTTTATACCAGTTTATACTCCCAGTAGCAACGTAAGTGTTATTATTATTATTATTATATTTTCACCAACCCTTACTCATTACATCTTTGGGAAAAAATAACTTTTTAAAATTGTAACTTTTTAAAAATAACTTTTAAAATTGTAATAGTAATATCTACTTATTGGAACAAGCTCAAACAGTGCCAAATGAATAGAATTAAAAAGTGAAAGAGGCTTCCCTGGTGGCGCAGTGGTTGAGAGTCCGCCTGCCGATGCAGGGGACACGAGTTCGTGCCCCGGTCCGGGAAAATCCCACATGCCATGGAGCAGCTGGGCCCGTGAGCCACGGCCACTGAGCCTGCGCGTCCGGAGCCTGTGCTCCGCAACGGGAGAGGCCACAGCAGTGAGAGGCCTGCGTACCGCAAAAAAAAAAAAAAAAAAAAAAAAAAAAAGAAAAAAACTGAGGGGCCTTGCTCTGTATTTGCTTTTTTCATTTTATATGGATACATCTTTTTGTTTTTTTTTGTATTTAGAGACCTGTATTATTTTAAAAGCAAGACAGAATGGATGTACCATAATTTATTTAACCACTTCCCAGTTGGTGAATATTTTAGCTGTTTTAAATTTTCTGCTGTTGTGCTGCTGTGAAATACTTCCCTCTTTTTAAATGAAGAAATTGCAAACAGGAAATATATAGGAATTAGCATAACAAATACCCAAGTATTCATTGCCTCAATTTGTTGTATTTTGACCTTTTGACACATTTGCTTCAGATCTTTTTGCTTCGTTACAAAGAGAGCTTTACAGTTACAGTTTAAGGCCATCTTTATATCTCTTTCTGATCCCTTTTACCTTCCTTCCTAGAAAAAGATTTTATCCTCTAAAGTTCGTATTTACCTTTCCTGTCCCTGTTTATAGACATTTACCAATGTGTATATGTTTGTAAATAAAATGTAATGTTGTTTTATGGGCTTTGAAATGTAAACAAATGGTATCATTTATCTTCATTTCAGAGTTTGATGAACGTGCTAAAATTCACCTAATAGCTGCGTAATAACAAATTAAAACAGTGAACAGGGTGAGGTTTTTAGAAGTTCGGTTAGATTTCCATGAAAGATAAGGTTTATATTATTCAACTTTCTTTTTAGATTACATCGTCAGCCCAAACATCTCCTTGCATTTTTATTGGCTGAATTGGGTACAAGGTAAGAAACTATATTCACATTTATGTATAGTTACTTACAGTATTAATGGACATTTCATAAGAACTTCTCTTAACTTGAAAAGATATGTAACACGCTTAGGGAAAAAAAAACATTCACTTTATTGTCAGAGGAACTTTTAGGGCAGTGAAGGAGGAAAACTTGTTCATTTCTATGGGAGGTTGGTTACTTGGGAATAGGAAACAAAGTTCACATTGGCTCGTCTGTGAACAGGTCTGTTGGTATACCAGAGTGAGCACCATGGCTCTGCCATGTTTAGAGAATTTCCTGTCATTAATTGGAATTCTTGGGTCTTTTTATGGAGCAAATACCAGATTTCAGAGGAAGCCATTTTCTTAGGACAGAATATATTTTCTAAATTGTAAATAGGCTGTGGATGAAGTACAGCTTATAAATTGATGAGTGGCATGGGAAAAACATTGAAACAGGTATCCATAATTAAATAGTTACTTCCCTGTCTTTAGGGCTCTCCTGTTGAAGACACCACGCCAGTCCATCACCATTCGGGAGGGCCAGTGTCCCATGGAGCCCATCCCAGTTAGTTTGGCCATAAGTGCTAGGAATAGGAAGCTCAATGTCCCTTTAAAAATAAGTAATGCAGAATTAGGACATAATAAATATGACTAAGACATTGAGTGCCCATTGTATGCCAAGCACTTTTTTGGGTACCATCTCAATCTTTAAACAGTTATGTGAACTGTTAAAACTAATATTACCCTTGTCTTACACATTTGGAAACAGGTTTGCTGAAATGAAGTTGTATGGTTGGTAACATAGCTAGTTAACTGCAGTCAAGATGTAAACTCAGGTCTGCCTTTCTCAGGAGCTCGAACTCTTAAAAGCCTTAATCCTGTGCCTTGCTGGCAGTATAGAGATAACTGAGGTGTCCTGTTCTCTTCCTACTCTTGAAACTCAGTTTGTTGGAATTGGCTGTATTTGCTTTGGGGTTAAGGAGTAATTTACTTGACCAGTGGTAGATATGTGGACTGTGTTGTGGAAGAATTGTTTTAAATGTAAATTTGTTACAATCATTGTTTTTAACTTGCATAAACTGATGGAGTAAAAGGTAGTGTTTTTCCTACTTCTCAGAATAATTTAGTTTTTGTAGAGGTGAGGTAAATTATAACAAGTTGTGACCAGTGAACTTACGGTCAGTGGGCTAAATATTATAGGGTTGTTGAGAAAATTCAATTTCTTTTGACAGTGAATGAAAAAAATTTCTTGCATCAAGCATTGAAGTCACTGTAGCCTAGAGATTAGGGGTTGCAGTTCATGCAGGATGATAGTAAACTCTTATAGTTAAAGGAGAATCACAGGAGAGGTTCTTGCAAAAGTCAGTTTTATAATAAGATACGGAGCAAATATAAATTTAATGCTGCTTGGCTGAATTTTGTTGTTTCACTTTGTGATTTGTAATTTTTAACAAATGATGTCTAGCGGAGAGCTTTGCTTTCTCAAAAGTACTTGTCAGCAACTTCTTTTCAAAAAGTTTCTTTTTAAGCACCATTGACAATATGAGGCCTGTGATTTCAACTGTACTTTTGGGGGAGGGTTGTAACAGCTTTACAGATACAATTCACACATGTAAATATGTACAATCCAATGGTTTCTAATTTGTTCACATAGTTAACCATCACCATAGTTTTAGAACATGTTCATCAGCTGTATGTAACTGAATCAAAAGATTTAGTCTTAGAATCTTTAAAGATATCTGTAGTTCCTTTCATATTTTTTGTATTTATAGCCTACCTCACTGCTTTGCATGTGGTATGCATTCAGTAAAAGTGTGATTGTCCTTTTGTTGGGTGAATGGGTCATCACACAGACAGTTAAGGAATAAATTTGTTTTAGACTTAAAATCAGTTACAAATCAGATTTGTTGCTGTAGACTTAATTAATTGAAAATTGAATTTAATGTTAGGAAATAGGGTCATCAGGTACCAACTACTTAATTAAAAATAATTTTTGAGAAACCAGGTAGTACTGCTCCTAGAACTTATCCTGTGCCATTGAATATATTTTAAGTTCATTAAATGTAAAGGCCCTGGAATTTGATTCCTTATAGGAAGAAAATAATAATAATGGAGATATTTTTGTTTTCTTTCACAGTGGTTCTATAGATGGTAATAACCAACTTGTAATTAAAGGAAGATTCCAACAGAAACAGATAGAAAATGTTTTGAGAAGATATATCAGTAAGTTTATAATTTCTAACATGTCGTTCTGAAATGTTCTTATTGGGCTGAAATATTTTGGGGGACCGCCATTGGTTTTTAATGAAGCTGGAAAGGCTGGCCTTAGAAGATGAGGGAAAATGATAGTGGTGGGGAGCTGGGTGGGAGGTGGCTCTTGGTGGCCGATTAGGGGTCATGGGGAGGGATTTGGATTTCCTAAGACGACCCAGCTGATCAAGGCTGCTGGTTGGTTCCAGGCTGAAGGCCAAGTCAGAGAAATGTGTCTGCACTCAGACCTGGCCTGACCCAGTTGTTACCTTCCTAATCACTTAAAATTGGCAGATCTGTTCCCACCTAGGAAAGCTAGTAAGTTCTCCAAGTGGCTCTCCTGTAAACACAGCCAGGAGTAGGCATTTGGCAAGTGTCACTGCTTCTTTGGACATTTGGGGTCTTTTTTCAACCTATTGTTAATTACGTGAAGCATCACATCAGATAGCTTGTGTTTTCTTACCCCTAGAATACCTAAGTGTAGCTAAGCTAAGCTTTCCTGGTTTGGGTGCCACCGTGGGCTTGCAGTCAGTAGAAGTGTTTCAGAAGAAAGAAACCTCTGGCTCACTGTGGCTACCAGGTAATTCCTTATGTTGCTTTTCCTGCAGAGGAATATGTCACCTGTCACACGTGCCGATCACCGGACACAATCCTGCAAAAGGACACCCGACTCTATTTCTTACAGTGTGAAACTTGTCATTCTCGATGCTCTGTTGCCAGCATCAAAACTGGCTTCCAGGCTGTCACAGGCAAGCGAGCACAGCTCCGTGCCAAAGCTAACTAATTTGCTAATCACCACTGATTTTGCAAAGTGTGTTGTGGAGATTTGGCTGGACAGGTTTACCATCAGAGTGGATATACCACTGTATTTAAAAACAAGATAGAAAAGCTGCCAAGTTCTTTGGCGTGTGGCCGGTTGGTCTGAAATTCTTGCAAGATGCCGTTGCTCAAGCTGTTGACATACTCGTTGCCTACTTTAACAACTGTCAGAGAAATATGATGGGGTAAGGCGGTGCTTTTTTAAAATCGTTCATAGACTTCTGTAAAATGCAAGATAAATTAAAGTTATTATAACAGTGATTCTTTCAATTTGGTTTGTCCTTCAGTTTTCTTTTCTATAAAAAAAAATTATGCCTAATGAATTCAGCAGAACAGTTTGTGCCTAGGCTCTGGCGAGGTCTCTGTATCCTAGTCCTGAGAAACTTCAGCTGGGTAGCCATTTTCCTTCTCAGCTTCCCGGTATACCGGAAGTAGACACAGCTTCACGTGAGAGGGTGGTTGGAGGGTGAGGTCTGGGAGGACAGCTTGTTTTCAGTGTCCAGAGAACGATTTTATAGACTTGAATTCTTTTCATTATGTGAGGATTGTTGCCACTACCTCACTGCTAAGTCCTCCAGCTGTTACTACATGAGGGAATACAAGGTGCTAAGTACCTTCCTTAGCATTTTCTTCCTTATTGGCCACTAAGAGAAGTTTAGAGATAACAGCCTTTGGGTGTGTCTTGTAAACTGGCACTCCAAGAAAAACCCCTGTTGGGCCTCTGTTGGTGAGGAAGTGGTGTGGCATGTGCAGTAGAGAGAACTCTTGAGAGTCCAAACCATGATGCTAGAGGAAGCTTTTCTTTTTCCTCCCCAACTTGTGTTCTGGATTTGAAAAGGACCCACCACAAATGCTTTTTCTATTTTCTGTATTAAAGTCGCTTTTAAATGTGATCATGAGAAACTAAGAGGTGATATTGCTTGTGTGGTGCTTCTGGGGCTTCCTTCTGGTTCTGCCTTCTGTGGTTTTGGCCGAAAAGGTATTTCTCCACCGAGCACAGGGGAAAAGATCATCTTACATGTCTGCTGTGATCTGCCTTGCACGTACTTGCCAAGGATAAGGGCATAATGCTGCTCCTCACTTTGTTGCCAGACTATTCCAGGAGCAGTCACTCAGCCTTGAATGTCTTGACCGTGTTGTTTTTAATCACTGTGACCCTTAATTTTAAAGTATAGGCCAAGTGTTGTAAAGCATCTTGGCCAAGAAGCAGTGGAGGGGGCAGAGCATTCCCTCAGCCCAGTAGGACCTGAGGGGACTACGCACTGGCTGAGCTGCCAGCACTGCCCTAATGAACTCAACTGCTGTTTATGATTTCATCTTCTTTTGTATCTATACCACACAATTCCCAATGTCAGATGTTACCGTGTGAATAAAGCAAGGATCAGTGCCTCTTGTGGAATTAGCGCTTTTGTGCATATATATGTGTGTTTTGTTCATTTCTTTAGTGGGGAGACATGGGACTTTACAGTTTGGTGAGAGGCTGGCAATTTCAATTCCAGTTCTTAACTCCATTCTCAAAACAGATTCTCTGGAATGATCCTAACTCTTTGAGATAGTCCAGTTGAGGTATTGTTTGGTTAAAATTGGATTGACTGTAGCAGACCCATTTAAAATGATGGGTTGCCCTAAGGTTACCCATTCACAATAGCATCAGCCTCTCTTTTGTCTACTATATTACCTCATACCAACCACAGCTCAGCTGGAAGGAACCTTTCCTGGAGTGACAAAGCAAAGGCCATTGAGAGTTTCTGATCAAGAGCCATGGTTATAAGGGAACCAGACCACCATTTCCAAAGTGTCTTAGGAAGCAGTGTTGAAGAGTGTTCTAATTATGCCGGGTGCGGGGTGGGATGTTCCATGGTAAAGAAGAGTTTGAGACTAAACATGTTCCGTGACTGCCTAAGTCTTTTGTATGCTGATGTGCATTTTCATAAGCACATAAACATGCAGTTATATCTGTAGTCTTTATAAAACCCTCTTGACTCCATACCTGTCCCCAGCCTCACCTACAAAAAAGCTTAAGCTTTTCCTAAGATGATCTCCTGGCTCACTCTACACTTCAGAGGTCCCTGCCCACTGCATGTCAACTGTTGTTTCCCCTCAGGCCACTGTAGGTGCTGAGAGCCGGGAGTATGCTTGTTCACTGATGTATCCCCATGCCTAGAACAAGCAGTGCCTAGCTTGTGGATTGTAAGTGGTAGGAAGTGTTCTAGTATCTGAGTTTCTTTAAGAGGAACATAGACTATGCAGACTTGTAGCCCCTTCTCCCCGCAAACATTTTGCAGGCTAAGTGTTCAGAAAAAATGCTGGGCTGGGCAGCCTGGAAGAAGTACTACCGTGGTGTGTGAGGCCCCAGTTCTGACCTGGCCTCCCCAATCCAGATTCTTTGCCCTGGCAATACTAAGTTTTCACATTTGAACAGAACGTTAGATTTTACAATGTGTTTTTAGAAGTTGGGCTTTATAGTATGTGGTATATAGTCTTTTTCTAACTGAGATGAATTTATAATTTCAAAAATTTAATTGCCATAATCCTATCACCATAGAATCTTTCAGTATCAAGAACATTTTTCCAAGTTAGTATCTTTATAATTTTTAAAACTGCATAAGAGGGCTTCCCTGGTGGCGTGGTGGCTGGTAGTCCGCCTGCTGATGCAGGGGACGTGGGTTCGTGCCCCGGTCCGGGAGGATCCCACGTGCCGTGGAGCGGCTGGGCCCGTGAGCCATGGCCGCTGGGCCTGCGCGTCCGCAACGGGAGAGGCCACAGCAGTGAGAGGCCCGCGTACCACCAAAACAAACAAACAAACAAACAAAATAACTGCATAAGAGTCTATAAGAGTCTATTCATGTTATGCCATAGTTTATTAAGTCAGTACCCTACTGGTGGGTTTTGCTAATTCTTGAAAATGCTATGAGTGTAGGCTCTCAACAGTCTGGAGTGGCAGTCCTCTACCATTGATTATAGCCTGTATTCTCATCCATAAAATGAGAAAATGCCTACCTCAAAGATGATGACATAGTGTATGTAAAGTTCTTAACGCGGGTCTGCCTTGCACTATGCACTATCTTCCTTCTGTTGAATACATACTTCCCTTAGGGTGAATTTCCCTGGTCAGAGGGCAGGAGACTTAATGGCTGATAGTACTTGTAAACATATCCCTTTTCCCAAAGGGTGGCCCTGCCAAGTGTACCAATCCTGAAGACTATAGGTATTGCTTCTATGTTTATGATGACGGTGGGTTTACTGACCTTGTTAAAGACTGCTCTGCTTGGGGTGGTTGCCTGTCTCAGTGATCCTGATAAACCCTGCCACCCTTGGCCATAGGAGCATCAAACTCTCCCAAGGGTTTGCAACAGAGGCATAGTCCTTCAATCTTTGTCCCATTAATCGTGGTGCTCTCCAGAGAAGAAAGGACCAAATACTGGGTCCCCTGTGATTGCCATGAGTCCTGTCCCTTCAAACCTTCCCTAATAGGAGATATTCATGAACCCTTCTAATCACTGCCCCTTGATTTAAGCTTGTCTTCTGTTTTAACACAACATTTGAAGCCACTGGAGAACCAGCTGTTCTAAAGGATAAGTATTAATGGACATTCTTACTGGACACCACCATTTTAATGGACACCTTTTAAAATTATATTCATCAGCTACAGATTTTCATGAGCTTTTAAATGAGCCAGGAACCAAATTAAAGCCAAAATACTACATGGGAAGTTGGCCAAACCTAATCATATCATGCTGGGCAACATCTTCAGTATCATAAACTATTTTGGCCTCTGAGAGTTATAACTGCTTCACTTTTCAGTCCCAGATATACCAATGCACTATGACAGATGCCTCTCATGTGGCCCAGAATCTGGGCTATTCTCCTTTTTTTTGGCTGCACTGCACAGCTTGCAGGATCTTAGTTCCCTGACCAGGGATTGAACGCGGGCCCCAGCAGTGAAAGGGCTGAGTCCTAACCACTGGCCACCAGGAAATTCCCTCTGGGCTATTCTTAAATAATCATTTATATAATAAATGGCTAGTACTAGCAAAGTCCCTAATTTGTGTGAGGTCCTGTTCTAGGTGCTTATATATATTTATTCATTTAATAAGCACAGCAACCCTTTGAGGTAGGTATACTGTTATCTCCATTTTACAGATGAAATGGAGACTCAGAGGATAAGCAGCTCACCCAAGGAGTCACTTAGTTGGTAAGTGGGGAGTCAGGATGCAGTTCCAGGCACTTGGGCTCCAGACCCTGTTCTCTGCCCTCCAGGAGCTTACAGTTTAGTGAAAATGACCGATGACCAAACCAGTTGTAAATATATATAATCTGTAAGAGCTGTAATAAAAGTAGCACACAGGAGGGGCCAGTGCTAACTCAGGCCAGGAAGGTGTCTGAGAAGGTGACTTCTAAGCTGAGCTATAAAGGATAAATGAGGGTTAACCAGTGGGAGAAGACAACATTCCAGGTAGAGGCAACCTCATGTGTAAAAGCACAGAAATCAGACAGTTCTCTTCACAATTAGTTCTATGTGGCTTAAGAACAGAGGGCAGACTGGGGGAGGTATTGAGCTAGAGAGAGAAAGGAAGAGGGTCAGATCCTAAAGGGCTTACATGCTATGCTAAGGGGTCTGGAATTTACCCACTGAGCCGTGGATAACTGGTGGTAAAGAGGAAAGACTGATGGGAAGTAAGTGGCAGGAAGGCTAGTTAAGAAGTTGTAAAGTCTATGTAAGAGATAAAAAGGGCTTAACTATTAAGGCAGTGGGATGAAAAACAGGTTAGAGCAAAGACATACCATGGAAATACTAACATGATTCGACATTAGGAGTGGAAGATGTTGACATGAGCAACGGGGTAGACAAAAATGCCATTCTTCAAGATGCAGGACTCATGAAGATAGATAAAGATGGGGGCTGGTCAGGGCTCAACTGAGATCCTTGTGGACATCCTTGTGGACTATCAGATGGGTATCTGTGTATGTCCCCTGGCACTCCTGGGGAGGATTAAGTTAAGAGTTGGAGATTGTGGAGGCCTGAAAGTGGAGTCTGGAGCCATAGGTTTGGTCAGCCAGGAATTTATACATAAAAATTAAAGCGGATGAAGAGATGCTGGCATAAGAGGAAGAGTCAGCAAAGCAAATTGAGTATGCAGAGGAGGAAAGCCAGGAGAGACTGTTGTCACAAGAATCGGGAGAGGAATTTCAGAGTCATTTATGACAGGGGCATGTGGTGATCAACTGCCCAGGTTTGCAACCTGCCTCCACCCCTTCCAGGTGACAAGATTTTGGGCAAATTATTCAACCCAGAGTCTCAATTTCCCAACCTGTAACAAGGGATGAGTATCTCCAACTCTGGGGGATTGATGTGAGGGTTAAATAAGGTGATGCGATCTGTGTTAAAGAACTCAGAGCACCCAGGAAATGCTAACATATATGTTAACGTATATATGTTATATCCCTTTCCATAGATTCTGCAGAGGTAGAATATAATTAAGAAGACAAAGGTAGATGCTGGATTGGATTGTTTGTATTTGCTCCATAATTATGTCGTTGACTAAGTCACATGTTCCTTTTTAAAACCCTTATGTGCAAGGATGAATGAGGCAGTCTCTCACCTTAGGCAGCTCCCTGTGTGGTCAGGGAGCTGGACATTGGGGTTTGCAGGGCAGGGCACAGAGAAGACACTGAAGGTGGGGTGTGAGGAATAAGGGGGCTTATTAAAAGGGACTGGAGAGTTGGGGGGAAAGACGGGGTCCAGGTCAGAAAGTAAGAATGGGTAACCCTGTCAGTTTCTGTTCAGTCTACAGAAGAGCCAAACCCATGCACTTGGCCAAACAAGACCTGGCTGCTGTACTTTTGTGGAAGGACACCCTGATCATCTGGGCTCCCACAGAGGTACACTGAGGTGGAGGTGCAGAGAGGAGTATGTGTGCACCAAGAGTCCACTGACCAGTCAGAGGAGAGACGTATCCATTCATTCATACAAGCAGGATGGCTAACTGGGCTGCCCCATGGGCCTAATCACTAGACCAACGCACTCCTCTTGACTGCAGTAACTCATAGTTATTACACCAAAAAAGGCCTCCTTGCTGTTATCTTCCTTTGCCTCATTTTTATAATATTCTATTGACTTTTTCTTTGTGAGCTGCCTGAAATAACATTTTGAAACAAGGTAAGTATAAAAATAAGTAGGAAAAAAAACAGAACAGGAAATTATGGTCTTATTTTTTAAGAGAAAATCACCTGAATCTAATAAGTGCTCTCAGTAAGTATTGTCATAAAAAGAATGTTTTTTTTTTTTTCTTTTTTCAGATGAGGAAGATGAGGCTCACAGAGGTTAAGTGACTTGCCTAAGGTCACACAACAAAAAGTCTAGATAGGAACTCAATTCAACAGGTCTTTACTCCTAACCCAGTTCCCCAAAGTAGAGCAAGCTACTTAAACCTTTGAGTCTCAGTTTGTGTTCTGGTTATCAACTGATATATAGCAAATCACTCCAAAATTTAGTGGCTTAAAGCAACAACAATCATTCGATTATTATCACTCATGGTGCTGGGCTTTGACTAGGTCAGCTGGGCAGTTCTTACTTGGTTCTCCAGACAGTGGCTGGGCTGGAGTCATCTTGAAGGCTTCCCTCACTCATGTCTGACAGTTGATACTGGCTGTCAGCTGGAACATGTACACATGGCCTCTTCACAGCATGGTGGCTGGGTCCCAACACAGAAGTAGAAACTGCTAGTTCTTAAGAACAGGACTGGGAGACTGGCATAACAGCATCACCATCACTGTATTCTACTGATAAAATGGAGTCCAGATAAAGGGGAGAGGATATAAAGACCACCTGTCAATGGGGCCATGTTCTAGAACATCCACATTTATAAAATCTGTAAAATGGTTATAATCACACAACGAAGACCCGTTTTTGTCAGCCCAAGCCCCCTTTCTTCTAGCTGTAGAACCCGTATTTTCCGTTTGGGGATTTTTTCCTCCCTCCACCCTTCACAGGCCCTGTGGCCATGCTCTGCCACCACTTAGAAGCTGCCTGAGAACACCACCAACAGAAGCAGCAGAGCTGAGGAATAGAGAAAAAGATTCCTGATGGCAGCTCCTGAACCCCCGGGTCCCACTGGGTCTGAAAATCTACGCCTGGGCTTTTAAATTTGTGAAACAGTTAACTTTCTCCTGCTTAAGCAGGTTTAAGTTCAGTTTCTATAACCTGTAACCAGAAGTTCACACTACATCCACCTAAAAGGGTGGTTGTGGAGATTAACTAAGTGTAAAATGTGCCTTTTATACAGCAGATAGATATTCAGGAAGTGGCCACAGGTAGAGGGATTTTGATATGCCCAAAGCCAGTCAATGGCCCAACTGGGATTCAAACCCAGGACACCTGGCTCAGAATCTTTTGCCCTGCTCTACCGTCTGTATTTTTGTGGTCTCATCATATGGCCCACTGCATAGTATATATGTTATGGGGCAAGATGTAACCTGGCCAGGGTTGGCTAATACCTGACAATCACATACCCATATTTCAATTCCTTGCCCATAAAAAACATGACCAAACTATCATGTTACTATTTCCTAATAGTCTAAAAACTGCTCCAAATCTTCAAAAAGCATTCCAGCAGCTGCTACTAAATGTTTTGAATTGGCAAGTGAAATGAGGCCTGAGATAGGTTAAAAACAAATTACGGTCATAATGAGGAATTGGGCTTAGCCATACGACTTGCTTTGGCCAGTAGACCCTTACAAGCATGACACAAGCAAGGAGCTTGAAGAGCACCTGCGTATCAGGGCTTACCCTGTCTTGCCTGCTAGATGCTAGGAACGTGTGGCCCAGTTGCCCCCACTGCCCAACCACTTGACAAGTGGGTGGTTATCTGGGACCAATCAATCAGCTTCCTGACAATTTGCCAGCTCACTTCAGCCACGTGAGAGCCCAGATGAGATAAGCAGAAGAACCACCCAGCTGGCTCACAGCCCAAACTGCCCAACTACAGAATCAAAAGCTAATAAATGTTCACTAAAGGCACTGAATTTCAGAGTGGTTTGTTATACAACTGAAATAAGGGCCATTTACTGTCCCTATCTAGGCCAGTCCCTCACATAGATGAGGAAACTGAGACCTGGCAAGGAAAAAGACCTGCCAGGGTCACAAACCTTACTGGCAGCAGTAAAAGGGGGAAAGCATTAGCTCACAATCCAGGAAACCCATTGGCTATGACAGTCCTGCTAGGATCACAATCGATACTTAAGATCTTGAAAGTATCTAGAGGATATCAGTGCTTTGGGCAGAATCTGGTATCACATTTCTTCATGATCTCCTTTTGTTTTTCAGAGGTTGGAAAGAAAAATGAAAACTATTGAGCAATGCAATGGGAAATGTCTTTTCTGGTCCCAGACACAGGGATGACGGGCAGGTATATGCAGGCTTTTGTGGATATGAACCTCTCAAGGGCCCAACTGTGAGCTTTCTTAGCAGCTGAAGTAGTTCAGGGGCTTTTCTGGGGCGCCAGGTTGGGGAATCCCATTTTTACTCTGTCCAGGATATTTCCTGGTGCCAGGGTGATAAAACAGGGCCTCTGGGTAGGGCAGATGCTCACAACTCTGGAAAGGGTCTTCCCTGCTCTTCTCATGGCCTCTATGCCTGGCATACTAAAGAAGCCCATGGCCCATGCTGTTGTACCTGTCCCCCCAGCTCTGAAAAGTGAGTGCCTCAGTAAAGCATACTGAGTAGTCCTTGTAGAGTCTAGAAATGTTATTACAGTACAATGGGCGCACAGCACTAAGCTCTGGGGACACAGAACACAGTGCCAGCCCTAGGTGTGATATTTACCAGGCACCAAAACCCCTTTGGACTTTGCCCAAGTTCCAGTCCAGGGCAGCAGTTCCCCACCTTGTACAGAGGGGAACATGAAGACCTACCCAGGTGTGCAAGTGGGTCAGCTAAGCTGGGCTCTGATGTCCTGTGTGTAAGGACAGATTGTAGGGTCAGGGATTGTAGTGGTATGTGCCACCAAGGGCTCTTCAAGGGGATGAGACACTCCCTGTGGACCTAGCCCCTTCCTCTAGACACCCTCTTCAACTCTCCAACTCTCCAGATTGAAGTCTTTTGACCAGTTCCAAGGGGCTACTTTTCACTCCAGGTCTGGGTCTCTGACTGAAGGCCTCAGCCTCTAGCCTCTTTCCCCTTGCTGCCCAAGATCCCTGTGAAAAAACAGTGTCCTAAACCAAGACACAGAAGGGGAGGAAGTGGCGAGTTCTAGAACCATTTTAGAGCTGGGAAACAGCAGACTTAGAAACTGAGGGCTGGACCTACCACTGCCCGACCGAGTGGATCAAAACCGCTTGGCACTTCTACCACGAAGTTGCTCTCATGGGCACTGGCACATCTGACCCTCCTGAACAACCCTACTGGACATTTTAATCCCCATTTTAGCCATGGAAACTAAGGCCCAGACAGATCAGTTTCAGGCACCCTAGACAATGCTCTCTCTGGCAGGGAGGAATGAAGGAGGGAACAGAAGCGGGTGTAGCAGACCTGCTTTCTGGTTGGACAGGAGGGCCAGGGTACCTTCATGAGAAAACACAAACCATCCCATCTCAGAGCAAATTGGGATCCAATCTCTTTATTGTCAGGGTCCCCTCCCTGTGGGCCCCACCCTCCTCCAAACCTATAGAAAAACCCCAAGCCTGGGAGTGTCCTGGGGAGGGGATGCAGAGTGTAGGGAAACTCTGTTCTTTGCCCTCTGGCCTGGGCAGTGCCAACAGGGAGGGAGGGTACATGAGAAGGGGATGCTGATAACTCCACCTGCAGAGAATGTGGCACTGGCTGGGACCCGTGAGGGAGGTGGTGCCTGCTGCCAGCTCTCCTCTGGGACCCGCTGGGGGTTGTTATCCAGGGGTGGGTGCCCTGCTTGAGGCCTGGTACAGTGTACGCCCTTCTCCTGCTGGTGGCCATTGCTCCTGTCAGACTGAGAAACAGACACAGAAGAGAGACTAAGGCTGAGAGGAAGAGCCCCTTCGTGCTCTTGATAATAACACGGGGTGGGAAGAAGAAAGAGTGGAATGGTGTTTGCTGTTTGCAAACAGAGATATGCCTGCACTCTGGCTCGGGCCTCATAACTTTCTGGCCATGAAACCTTGGGTGAATCTTCCCCTTCCCCGAGCCTCAGTTTCCTCACCTGAGTCCCCAGCACCTCTCCTGCAAACTGGCTTAACAAGGTAAAACTTAGCCTCCCAGGTAAAACAAACCACAAAGATTGCCTAAACTTAAATGTATGGTGGAGCATCTCGTAGCATGAATGTGTCATGCGTATAGACACCTCTGCTGTTTGAGGCCCTCCTCCACCCAGCCTGTCTTACTCTGGAAACGGCCCCCAAAGGAATGGGGCAGAGTATGGGCAGAGCTGCTGTGGCCTGCTTTCCCTCTAGGGTCGGGTAGAGCAGGGTGGTAAATACCAACCAGAGAATGAGCTTTGAGGCCCACACCACTGGGTTCAAATCTAGGCTCCACCAATTACCACCTGGGGATCTTGTGAGATACGTGGCATCTCCCTGCCCCCTTCAGTGCCTCAGGTTTCTACATCTGTTACACTGGCACAGTCACGACCTTGTAGGGCTGGGGTGCACAGGGCATTTCCTCCTGACAGGATCATATCCCAGCCCCTAAGTCTGGCATAATCATCACCCTCTGATGACGAGCAGCTCCCTCTCCCCACTGTGCAGAGCTGGGACTGCAGCCACAGGAGGCTCCTGGCCATTTCTCACACACCGAGGACTGCCAGCGTTCTGTGCCTCTGATAAGGGTGTTCCCTCAGACACTTCTCCCTCAATCCTCAGCAGGCTCAGGTACACATCACCTCTTCCACCACACCCCTCTATGAGCCCCTGGCTCTCCAGTCCTTGTCATCCTGCTCACACTGGGTGGTAATGGTTTGTCCTCCTCCAGTAGACTCAGAGCTCTTTACAAGTGGAGATAGGCAATGTAGCTCGGAGTATTCTGAGGGAACTCCTGTTGGGCGGACCTGGTTAGCCCATCCACGGCTGCCTGCTCTGCAACCCACCAAGCCCCTACAAATGGGCATGGCAGGATGTCTGGGGACAACAGAGCCTTCATTGCTGGGCACAGCACTACCCTGCCAGGTCTACTGCACCCCTCCCCACCAGGACCCCCGTACCTGCTTACTGCAAGGCCCCATCCTCCGCATCTGTGTCCTGGCTGTGCTCCTGATAGGGAGGAGACAACAAAGGACCACATATCACTCACTGCAAGCTCTGGCCTACCCTGGGGCCCAGAGCACATATGGAGACCACACTCAGAAAGGGGGAGGGACAGCCAAAGGGAATAACTATGGGACCAGTCTAACTAAACGCTGGCTTGGGATCCCAACAGGGTAGTCTGAAGGACCCGCAGGAGAGAAAGGACCAGTCAAGGAAGTTCTAGGTGTGCCAGGGGGCACATTCTGCATAGAAAGACCTTCTTAGGTTGGAGCAGACTGAAAGCCTAGTAGACTGGTGAGCTCCCCATCTTAGGAGCCTCGAAGCCTTCATTAGGGCCTCTATGGAGACTACTATGCCTGAAAGAGTAAGATGGGGTATCAGGCTAGGTTTAAATAAGAAGAGACAGGCTAGGCATGAGGAAGACCTCTCAACTGTTATGGCCATAAGCCTATCTGTCCTCACACCAGAACCCAGCCATGTGGAGAAAATTCACAGACCCGCTGAAGGCCAGGCTCCAATCCTGGCTCAACCCTTATTAGCTACAATGCCCCAGGCAAGCTACTTGACTCCTTTGAGTCTCAGTTTCTTCATGGTGTAAAATGTGACAAGAGTAATACTTTGCAGAGTTCAGGGCTGCTGTTAAGGTTAAATGAAGTTACAAAGTGTGAACTACAGGGCCTGGTGCTCAGTGTTAGGTAACTGAGAACTAGGCACACAACAGACATCTTATACACTCAGAATCTGGTCTACTTTCCCACTTAATATGAGCTCCTTGCCTCAGTCTGAAGAATTCCAATAACAGAGCTCACTCCCTCTTGAGACAGCCTGTTTTCATTCTGAGGCAACAATGGCTTTTAGAAAATCCTCAGGTGGAGTAGATATCCACATTCCCCGTGGCTTCCCCAGGCAAACCCCTCGTGCTCCCTGGAACTCTGCAGACCGTGTGTGTTTGCTTGAGTCTGTGACTCTTCCCTTCTCCGACTCATGTAGAAGACAGAGTCTAGAATGGGCCTTAGGCTAGAGAGAGGTCTGCCCCAGTCCTCAGTGGGATTTCTGACTGGCAGCTGAAATAGCTAAGTACTCCCTGTTCGCTCCCCCCTCTTCCTCACAGGACTAGAATCCCTGGGAAGGAAGGAGGGAGCTCATAGGGCAGCCAACCAGCTCAGAGATTCCCTTTCTCCCTGCAGCCCTCCTGCAACCAAGCGTGCAAAGTCCAGTCCCAGTCCCAATTCCCCCTGCCCCCCACCGCATGCCCTCACCAGCTCTTCCTCGCTGTGTGTTAGCAGCCCCTCCTCATCACCGTCGTCTCGAGCCTTTGCTTCTCCCTGGGGCATGGCTGCCTCAGCAGCTGTGTCCTCTTGGGGGGCCGGTGGCCGGCTGCTGCCACCACTACTGCCACTGCCACTGCCGATGGCGCTGCCACTGCCACTCTCGCCCTTCTTTTTGCCATCTTCAGGCGGAAGCGGGGGATGAGGGGAATAAAAATCAACCTGGGGCAGCTGCCCGGGGTAGCACCTTAGCGTAACCTAGGCCTCAGCACAGTGGGTCCAGGTGGGATTGGAGGCCACAGTCCCTCTCTGCCCCATGCACTGTCCTCCCCACACTCTGCCCTGTGCCCCTGGCCACTGATCTGGGCAGGGACCCTTGGAAGCTGACCTGGATTGGACTTCTGCGCCTCGGCAATCTGCTCCAAGCGACCCAGCAAGGCATCGATGTTGGACTTGATCTGGGTCAGCTCTGTCTTGATGGTACGCAGCTCACTGCTCTTTACTGAGAGTGGAGGGAGTACAGGGATGTCACCTAAGGGCTGGGAGCTTGACACTAACACAAGACCCTAGCCCCATTCTGTCAACTAGGAAGACAGGCCAGTGGCAGAAACTATCCTTGTCCACGGTCTTTTTCTGGCCAGGGAAAAGGCCTGAGCTGCCTGCGGCTTCCCCCGAGACTTTCTGGAGGCCCTTCTAAACCTGGATCTCCCCCACCATCCCCGACCCCTCCAACTCTGAAAGGGACTGGGGATGGATAAGAATGGAGGTGTGTGGTGTGTACCTCTGTGTGCACCTGAGCAAGCATGTGTCTTTGCTTATGTTAGAGAGTGGTATCTGTCTTTCAAGGTGTGTAAATGTGAGTGTTTTACAATCAGATTTCCTGGGTGCCTGACCACGTTTGCACACCAGAATGAATGTGGAGTAGCGAGCCTGTGTGGACCTGTCCTTGTGCTTACTAAAGGAAAGATGACACCATTTCCTCACTGGGCTCCACGTCACAGCACTGGACTCTGCCTAACCCAAGACCCTCCTCCACAAATGTCGGTGTTTTCCTCTTAGAAATGCATGAAAATACTCACTTGGTTGTATTAGAGCTGCAGAACTGTGGGAGATTTGTTCCTTTATCTATTTTCCAATGTAAAAAAATGTAATTCTATTATTTTGCTAATGACAAAAATAAAAATTACCTAGGAAGAAGATATAGTCACTCACACTTGATCTTGGCTGAGCCGGTGGTGGTGATGGCTGTGGAGCGCGCAAAGAGCTTGACAGGTATGGTGGTTTTGACACGTCGGACCAAGGGGACTGTGACCCGGGGTCGCTTCACAGGGACTGCCCTGGGCACTGGCACTGGTGACAGGCGGCCCCGATAGTCGAAGAGCCTGTGAGAGCAAACGGGCCAGAGGCTGCAGCATGGCCTGTGGCCACCAGAAGGCACTGTGACCCTAGACCAACACATGTAGGGCTGGTGAAGGGCTGGGTAGCCTGTACTACATACCTCATCCTGCTCCCAGTTAGGTCCTGAGGGTGAAGAGGAAGGGCTTTCTGGACCTCAGTGACCTTACTACATCCACCTTTCCTACCATTCAAGCTGGGTAAGAGCAGGGGAGGTGACAGGTGGTAATGGTTATAGCCCCATTCAACAGAGGAGCAAACTGACAACAGCCCCAGAAAGAAGACTTCCCTAGATCACCCTGACACCCAGTCCTGCTCTATTACCTGACCTACTTCTGCTCAGTCAGCTGTACCCCGAGCTCTGGTCAGAGTTTGCAAATCTCCCTAAAGCAGTACAAATCCCCAGCTGGAAACAGAGAGGTGAGGGAGTGAGAGTCAATCCCCAAGCCTGCCTAAGCCTCAGTTTTCCCATCTGCCTAGTGAAGATGGCTACCCCAAATTCTGTGCCCCCCACATCCCCCAAGGCTGCCGTGAGGATAGAGCATGAGAGAACTTGGTTAAAAACACACGTTAGAAGGTGTGATAGGTGAAGGGCCAGGGTACCGAGACCCTCAACTCAGGGGCCTATGACCTCAGAGGCATGAGGCTGGAGTCCAAGCCCCTTTCCTCATTCTGGGCCCCCAGTCACCCCATCCTTCTCACTTGACTTTGGAGATGGAGGGGCAGGGGGCCCAGTGGAGTATCAAGGTTAGGCAGCTCCGTCAGACCCTCTATACCAGACAGTATGCTGTACCCCCGACGCCATCACCCAGCCCTTTCCAGGAGGGCTTCTCTTCCTGATCAGGCAGAAACTCAGTAAGCCAAGTAGGGGTTTCTCCCACCGCTGCTGCTGCTACCACCTTTCTGCACGGAACAGCAGCCACAGGGGTATACTATGGGATCACTTTCCTGAGGACAGCCAGGTTACCTGCCATCACTAGGCAATTCAACGCCCCATGCCTTGGTACTCCTTTGTTTAGGGAGCCCCTGCCCTGGGGTGGTGATGGCTGGAGATGGAGAGTCTCTGGGAATGGACCCAGTCCCAGACCCTGCATTTCTGCCCCTAAGGGGAGGGGGCGGCTCTGGCCTTGGTCAGAATCACTGAACCACAGAATCCCAGAGCTGGAAGAGCCCTGAGGGATCACTTGGTACAAGCCCATTTCAGACTGGGAGGGGATTTGCCCAAAGTTGTGTACTCTATTCAGTGGCAGAGCTGAGATTAGCACCCAGGTCTTCTGATTCCCAGGCTAGGGCACTTTCCACTACATTGCACTGTCTCCTGAAACCACTCACAGGTGAGAAAACTGAGGCTCAGAGAGGTCTGTTCTTCTGGGACAGCCTGGGGCAGGCTGAGAGGGAGGGAGGGAGGGAGGGAGAGAAGCAGGAAGGAGGAGAAGCTTGGGCCAGCCCCCACCATGATTTCCACAAGAATGTGGCTGGTGCCATGGATGCTGGGGTCTGGGTAGGCTTGGGGGTGGGCCACAGCCTACCAGGGACTAATTCAGACCTCCAAAGGACTGCTGGCCTCTTGGCTATAAACATAAGGCTAAGAAGCTCAGACTGAGCTCTGAGGTTCCTTCAGCTGGCTGGGCACCTCAGAGAGGTAAGGAAACTGAACAGCAGAAGCGTGAGGGCTCAAATTCCCTGCACCTGGCCCTGTATCTGTTTTGTATTCCAACTTGCTACATTTATGGGTCCCCTGGCTGTCCAGTCCCATTGAGTCCCACCCCAGGATTAGTAAGGGGAGGGGCGGTCAGAGAGTTGGGAGACAGTGTGGGCTGGGGAGAGCTCTGGCCTGGGCACCTATAGAACTGGACCCTAGTCCCAGCTCTGCCACTAACTTGCAGAGCAGCCTTGGGCAGATGCCTGTCCACAACTCTGGGCTTCAGTTCCCACTTGGAGGACTGAGTGGGCTGCACCAGCAATCTCTCAGGACCCTTCCAGCTTGGCTGTTTCATGCCTGGGCACGCCCCTCCCCCGCTCACCTGGCGTAGAAGTCGTCCCGGTAGTAATCATAGTCAAAGCTGTAGCCACTGGGGAAACAAAGGGGAGAGGGCCGGGGCTTAGAGACGGCCACTCAGCCCACTCTTCGCAGGCCCTCATCTCCAAACACCTCCCCAAATTCTAGGCTTGGCATACCGTCACCACCAGTGTTCACTCCCTCTGTGGAAAGAGGAACCAATCCCACCCAGAGACAGACAAACAAGACAGAGCGCCCCACCTGTATATGGCAGATGCCGCTCTCTTTAGCCCCTTGGGTCTGTTGGGCTTTGGCTCTCCAGCCATGTTGATGTCTGTATGGAGGGAGAAGGCGGAGTCAGATGCTGACAGGATATCAGCACCCATACAAATATCACCCTCATGCACATGTGCAGCAATTTATGTGTTTACATGAGATACACATGGACTTCACTCACTAACATGGACAACAGATGTCTTCACAAATTAGACTCATACCCACACATCACATGCATATAGTTGTTTATACATTCATATACATTCAGATACATGCATGCATGCTCACAATCACACACACACACACACACGGCCATGTACATCAAATTATATGCCTTCTCAAGTACACTCACATAAATGCATACATCAGACACACATCCTCACACATACGTGCACATATCCAGGAAATAAGATCACACACTCTCAACTACACTCAGACGTGGCTCCAACACCCTATACTTAACTGCCCATATGCAAATGAGCCAATGCACATTTACACAAACCTCCTACCAAACATCTTTATGCCTACAGCAGAGTTCAGCAAATGTTAGGACCTCAATAAACATTTGGTAAATGAATACATGAATATCTGCTTACACACTCAAGTACATTCTGATACACACATAACTCTACATATATACATGTAAGTAAAGCATGTGTCCACATATTCTCCACATGTTCAGTTACATCCACATACCACATATTCAGGGATACATATCCTTCTCAAACATACACAAATATACCGAAGTATGTGAACATATACAAACACTATACAGGCTCCAAGGTAGGCCTCCAGCACGGCCACATCTCATGTACATAACACCGAGACCAAGAGCACCTGCTTCACCTTATGCTCCCAGCCCCTCCTCCTGGCTCTCAGAAAGGGTTCTAACCTAAGCCAAATGCAGCCCAATGTAAGAGGCTGTGCTAGTCCACTCTGTTCCCTTTCTCTGGGGAATCTGCATTTTAACTGGAACGCTTACACTGTGAAAGCAGGGACAGAAGTGTTTTCCTGAAACTTCTAAAATTTTCCCATACAGGCACTGATCTTATAGTGGGTGACGGTTGGAGAAGACAGAAAAGAGGATAAGAGGGAAGCTAAAGAATGCAGGTCAGCACCTGCCCAGGAGAAATCCAGGGGCAGGGCCATGGAGAGATGCTTACCCAGGGTCTGCCCAGCCAGCACCCGCCCATTCTCTCCCAGCACAGCTGCCCGGGCATGGCGCTCATTGGCATACTGGACAAAGGCATAGCCCTTGTGCACAGAACAGCCGGCCACACGGCCATACTTGGAGAAGATGGTCTCCACATCAGACTTCTTCACCACAGCTGTGTTGAGGTTTCCGATGAAAACCCGAGAGTTGATGGATTTGGGGTCATTCTTGTTGGTTACGTTGCTTGTCTGGATCTTCAAGGACATGGTGGCCACCTGAAGAAAGAAAGCCACTGTGAGGCTGGGAACCCGGGTTGGGCTCAAGGGCTGCCCATGGCCCACAACCTGACCAAACTGGATTGCTTTGTGCCTTCCTACACACACGCCCCTACAGCATCCAGCTTCCCCATTTTTGTTCATTTCACTGGCTGCTGACCTCATATAGGTGCTTTACATATGTTCTGTCGTTTGGTACTGACATGATAAGCAGAATTAGGACATTTTATAAGGGAGGAAATGCAAAGTCAGAGGTCACAATGCTAGTGAATAACAGGACAGGGATTTGAACCCTGGTCTGCTTGACTCAATTCTTCTCTTTTAATTGAGGTTACACATTGGTTTATAACATTACATAAGTTTCATATTGACTCCAGTTCTTTCAAATCCACTCTTTCTTTAATGTTCATCTCAAATGCTACCCCTTGCAGGATCTAAAGTTGAAGATCTTCCACAGCTTTTCTTCTGTTCCTTCAATGTAGAACCATGGTAAAGAGGTCACATGGTAAATGCAAGTAATGTATGCTCTAAAACAACTTCATATTAAGAAAATTGCTCAGTCTGATCCAGACATGGACCATGACTGTCTTTATTAGAACCAGCCATTTCGAAAAAAATGAGCTAAACCTCACTGAGCATTCACTGTGAGCTAAGGGTAGCATGCAATATTGAATAATTCCAAGACTCCATGAGTTCGACAGATAAGTAGATAAATTAGATGTGGCCCATATATACAATGGAATATTACTCAGCCATAAAAAGGAACTAAATTGAGTTATTTGTAGTGAGGTGGATGGACCTACAGTCTCTCATACAGAGTGAAGTAAATCAGAAAGAGAAAAACAAATACTGTATGCTAACGCATATATATGGAATCTAGAAAAATGGTACTGATAAACCTAGTGGCAAGGCAGGAATAAAGATGCAGACATAAGAGAATGGACTTGAGGACACAGCAGGGAAGCAGAGGCTGGGACGAAGTGAGAAAGTAGCACTGACATACATACACTACCAAATGTAAAATGGATGGCTAGTGGGGAGCTGCTGCATAGCACAGGGAGATCAGCTCGGTGCTTTGTGATGACTTAGAGGGAGGGGATATGGGGATATATGTATATTTATAGCTGATTTACCTCGCTGTACAGCAGAAAACACAACACTGTAAAGCAATTATACTCCAATAAAGATGTAAAAAAAAAAAAGACTCCTTGAGTGTTATCATTATCCTTCATATTTTACCAAAACCAGACTCCAACAAGCTCATTAACTTGCCAGGAACAGGCATTCAAACCCAGGTCGTTGGTCCCTAAAGCCCATTTCTACCAAATTTATCACTCTCCTTCCCAGAGCTAAATCCACTTTAAATACAGTTGACCCTTGAACAACACAGGTTTCAACTGCATGGGTCCACTTTTATGCAAATACTTTTCAACAGTAAATACAATACTGAATGGTTCCCATGGTTGGTTGAATCCACGGATGCTGAAGAACTGTGGATGTGGAAGGGGCTGACTGTAAGTTATACTTGAATTAACCCCTGCATTGTTCAAGGGTCAACTGTACTACAGTAAGTCAGCATATTTATCTGAGAATTGTTTTTAATAAATTAATTTTTTAGAGTTATCCATTTTACACTTACTATTCAAATTCTGTCCCCTTTGCTTAGAGATGATACTATACTTGCTCTTTGCTCTCTATACTCAGGCAATGTTTTTTACCCCAAAGGGCTGTACAACTCTCTCCTACTCCCCTTCCTGGACAGGTTATAATCTGGGCACAGGCTCCAAAGGGAAAGGGAAAAGGAAGCTCAATTTCAGTAGAAAAGGCCTACGTAAGCCTTGGCATTTATACTTCCTGGCCATCTTCTGCTCACCGGCATGGGTTGGTGCAACTCCCTTTTGGAACACTCCTATCTTAAAACCTGACCCTAGAGCTATTGCAGAAGGTGCTGAAGAACCACCAGGCAGTATGCATAAAAACTCTCATCAGCTTAGGCTGACCATAAACACCTGCCTATTTACCTAATATTTTAGGGCATAGGGGGTTTCAAATTTTTAGTGAATTAGAGAAGAGCTGAGTATAAGCTGGGATATCTGTATCTTTTGTCCCACTAGGTTTTAAAGACCCTTTTCTCCTCAATCCTCCAGCTTAGAAGTTAGCACTTTCTGACCAGCAGATGGTACTGTTTGCAAGGAAACCATACGCTGGACCTGCGAACGATTCTGGGGAAGAACCTGCTCCTATTATGGGCTTGCAGTAGCAAGGATACTACTCAAGTGTGTGTCATCGCAGGTAAAGGCTGAGGGCTGAGAGGGCACTGCTACTGATGAAGGAGCTGGTGCCAGTTTTGGAGCTGGAGTGGGAAGACAGACTCTTCTGTTACTCTGTTTGCCTTTGAATCCAATCATCAACATTTATAAAGCAGTGAGGGACACAAAAGAGACTGCCCGTGAAAACACTTAACACACTGCCCATATGCAGAAAGAAATGCTCGATGTATGTGGGTTCCCCATTCCTCACAGTTCTCTGACAATCCCTCTCCTACCTGGATGACAAGCCATTCAAAGGTTAATTCCTTGTGCGTCCATGGGTATACAAGAAATTTGTGGGGCTCCTCCATGGGCATCAGATAACTCTCTCCTTTGAGCTATCTCCTGGAGACAGCTCAAAGTCATGAAGTTTTGGCCCAGGGAGATGCCACCTGCTTTGGCTGGAGGGAGCCAACCAGGTCAAGTGTGTGGACCAAGACAGAAAGAAGAGAAGGGGGGTTGACGGTTCGGAGATCTACTGACGACTGCTGGCTCTGCCACTGCCCTGGCAGGGACATGACCATCGCTGGGTTCCCTCAGACTGCTTCCTGTTCAGTAGTGTTAGTGAGCTCTAACACTACTGAACAGGAAGCACTGCTGAGCACTGTGCTTGGTGCTATAGTGGGATCAGCATTCACTCCTTGGCTGGTGAGCAAAGTCTTTGGGTTTGCCTCTACCCAGTCTTTTCTCTCATCACCTGGGGTTTGGGACGATGTATATAAAAGGCCTTTGCAAACTGTGAAGCTCTTTATAAGATCTAAAAGTTACTCTGACTAGTTGAACATCTCTGTTCTACTAATATTGCCATTTCTGGGCCCATTCTAGATGAGGGTCAAGGTCAGACTGGAGCACATTCTGTACAATGCCAAGGAAAGGCAGTCAGAAGCCATGTCACACGGGGGTCAGTTTTCTGATCTGTAGAGAAGACACTTAGGAAATATATGTATGTGGTTGCCCTGCACTGCCAAGGAGAAATGTCTGCCTGAAGCATTCTCCGGGAACCTAACCGCTGTATTGCCCAACCAAATAGCCCCCAATCTGCTTTCAAGGCCTGCACGCTCTTCAGAGGGCAGGCTGTGCTGCTGCTGTGCATAATCTCAAGGGGTAGGTATCTCTGGGGGTTCAGAAAAGCTTAAGTATCCACTCACATGTCCTCAAACTGAGGAATGGAGTTGGGGGTGCAAAATGAAAAGAAAGCATGCTCAGACTAGCTCTCCTAGAACTGCTAGGTTCAGTTACAGAATCCCAAATTCAGATACGGTCTTCCAGGTTATGAAAATACCAATTTGTTAGCCTCACTTATAAGTTATAACCTTTGAATATTTAGACACATGGTACGCAGGTCTCCATCTATACTCTTGTTCTTCCCTGCAAATGTTAGAGGCAAGCTTGACAAAGTTGCACAGTAAATGCTCAATAAACATTAGGGACGAGGCAGTGAAGGTAATATCCCAGAAGGTGGTGAGAATGGCTAGCTGTGGCCCTTAAGTAGGGGTATGGAGGAGTTGGGGGGACTACTAGAGGCTAGGGTTCCAGGCACCTTTTTCTAGCCTCTGGCCCAAACACCCTGGTCCGCACACCAACCATCCCCAACTCAATCCTCTCCACACAATTCTATCTTGGCTCTTCTGGGCTTCCCACTAGTTTAGAGTGGAAGCCCTAGAAAATACTGACATCCTATTCAGCAGAAGCTGGTTGACTTGATAAGCTATTTTCCCCCCTGGGCCAAGCTCTGCCTCACAGATTAGCTGTGTAATTGAGAGCAAGGTGTTTGTAGTCCCCAGAGGCCCCATGCTTAGCAATGAGCTAAGGAGAGGTGGGTAGAGGGATTGTTCTTGTGGAGGTGGGCAGGGGCGGGGGGGGGGGGCGACGAGAATTCAAGAACCCAACTTGTTCCCAGAGACTTCTGCAATGTCAGATTAGCAGGGACCTTAGTGAGCATGGAGCTTATATGCCCTTACTCTGAGGAACAGAGGGGAATGGACATGGCCAGGATGCCATAGCCAGTGAGTAGCAGGGCCAAGAACCCCACAGGTCCTCTGACTCTACGTCTAGGGTTCTTATATTTCATTTTTCCTTCTGGGCTGCCAGGAGACAAGTACCCAGGACAGTGAGAAGCTTGGAGAAGGCAGTCTAGATACGCTGTGTTTCAGAAAACTGGGGACTGGCTCCCAAATAAATATCTTCACTTTTACCTGCTAAAACAACTGCTGCATAAAAGCTGGGATCTTAAGCTAATTAAAACCCATAGGAACACAGGCTTTGAAATGCAATTTACAGCTCAAAGGGATGGGCTGGCTCCTCCAGGCTAATAAGAAAAGAAAATTTGGCAAAAAACAAATCATTTTCCCCAGATGAAACATTTCAGATGGAAGCTATGTTTTGGAAGAGCCAAGCCCGAACATGTGGTAAAGTGACAGGGCTTTGTCAAGGCAGAAAAGCCCTAAAAGGTACCTGAACCCCTGAACTTTGAGTAAATGAGCCTCCCAGAGGGGCACCACAATAAGAATAGCCTCTAATTACTGACTGAGACTTTCAAACCTCACCTTATTTAATTCTCACAACAGCCCTATGAGGAGGTAATTTAGATAGGGAAAGAAAGCTCAGAGAGACCAAGTAACTGGTTAACAGAGCAAAACCAGAACTGGAACCCAGGTCTGTTTGACTCCAAAAACCTATGCATAGAGATGC